AGTGACGTGGAAGGGGAGTGGCGCACACGTGCCCCCATCGGTTCAAACCGCTCGAACCCCTGCTCGCGGCTACTCCTCGACTGCGCTTTCGACCCGCTTGCGGGTTTGGCTGGCCGACGGGTCCCCCTCATTTTGTCTTATTTTTATTTTAATTTCTTTTCCTTCATTTATCTCAAAAGTAAGACTGTAAAAATCATATAAAATCACATAATTACCCAAAAATTTACGTTAATCAATTAAAAACCACTTTTCACACTTTAACACAAATATAAGTCTATTTATCATGAGTTAAGGCTAAAACTATATTATTTACTAATTATTAACTCATGATAATGAAGACTTATCACCCGTTGACTAGACGGGATCACAAGTAGGCTGAAAGTAGTCGGGAGTAGCCACGAGCAGGGGCTCAAGCGGCTTGGACCGATAGGGGCACGTGTGTACCACCCCCCTTCCACGCCACCAGTGGCCAATTGACTATGGAGCAAGGAGTGGTCGTACATGCACGAGAATGGGACTTGATTAGAAATGTAATATTACTATATATTCACCAAACACTTCACCGCACAAGTGATGTGGGACTAAACCCGCGTCACCTTCCCCAGAAAGGGCGAGCAACCAGCGCTAGTTCGAATCCTCCCAGAGTCAAAACTCATATTTTTTATCTGATTATCGTAACTTTCTTGCAAATCGCCAGTAAAGGATTAACCAACAAGAATCGTTGGATCATCAGCGAAAATCTCGTCAACGCGATTCGCAGAGCATTGTTACTAAAATTTCTGAATGATTCATGATAAAAGGATCACGAATCCATCAAGTAAAGCATCTCCGATTGATCAACGAACAAGCCGTCGTCGAGAAGAGGACAATCCGCTAGGAAACGAGTTGCCACCTCCTGAGAGCGTACCAGATGCGATGAAGAGCCTCCTCTTGCTGTGCAGACCTAAGGATGAAGCTTCCTAACACGCGCCCCACCTTCATTTAGCTCATCTCCATTTGGTGACAATCGCTAGAGAGCCGCAAAGTCACTGTTTTTCCGCTCTACTAGGTGACAACTGCTAGAGACGATTCGACGACCCATTTTATTGATCTCTAGACTTCGCAAGGAGATCTAGAGATTGCCCACATCATCCTTGTCCAAGGAGAGCTTTTGAAGCTGTGGACACTACACGACTATCCTCCCGAATGCTCAAGATTCTGGTGCATCGTCGACGCATCACTGTCGCGACGCCGGAACTCTGTTTTCTTACTTTCAACTTACTTTCCGCTTCATTTAGTGATAATTTGTGTGATTTAAATTTACCAAGATATACTTTATTTAATTACGATTCTTTTGGCTTTTACAGATCTTAATTTGATCAATTAAATCGTCTGTAATCACTTACGTAAGAATCATCAGATGGAACTCTGTAATCACCCGATTCGCATTCACCGGGTGCTGATGTCATCCTGACGTCAGCACCATTATTTCCCTTTTTCGTGAATTTTAAATATATTTCCTTTTCATTTCCTAATATAAAATGTATAAAAAATAGTATTATTTGAGGAAAATTTTGAATAATGACTAGATATTACATCTTTGTGATCGATATAGAAAATTACTATTATTTTTGAAAAAATTATTGAATTATAAGTGATATATTTGTTCATAAATACTTCTAAATATCTAAAAATTCATATTTTCTAGTTTCATAAATTTTAAATTTGTGTGATTTACTATACAACAACTAAGTCACATCAATCGGCAAGCTTGCCTCTTTTTCACTTTCGTGAGGAGCTCAAAGTCAACTATGTCATCTTAGTAGTGATGGGTGTTCACACTGATTCAACAGACTTTTCTCTTTGGAGGTAAAGTAGTTTGGCGGCAAACACGTCTCTTTTTCACTTTCATGAAGAGCTTAGAGTCAACTATGCCATCTCGGCAGTTATTGAGTGTTCAGGTTGATTCAATAAACTTTTCTTCTTTGAGGTATGGTACTTGTTTGGTGGAAAATGGGCGTGTTGATATATTTGTTTTTTGTAATTATAAATAAAACATTATTAATAAGTGATTATTTAATATGGATAGTTCTTCACATGTGTCATTTATATATTAAATTATTTACTATATTTAAAAATATATATTATAAATCCTATTGATTGATTTTATGATTTTATCATTAATGGTCAAGATGTTAATATTTGAGATTAAGTAATTTTCTACCTTAGTAATATTTGAGGATAAAATCATATAAATTGAAGAATTATCTTGAAATGAAAGAATAAGTATATGATTTTCTATGAAAAAAATACAAATCATGTGAAATATCTCATCTTTAATTATCTAATCATATTATGCACTGTTTAATCTTTCAAAATCATGATAGACAAGTCCCTAAATATATTACAAACATTTAGTTATCAAGGAAATGAAAAAAAGAATGAGATATTCAAATTTTGATGAGGTCATATTGACGATGACACATTAACTACGTACATGGACAAAAGGTGAAGGTAACTTAATTATTTGGATTCAAGGTAGACATCTAACTATTTTTCATTAATTTAATAGACTCCATTTCAAATTTAAGCATGAATGGTTGTGAGAATAGGGAGATTCAAATACTAGAAGGTTTAGAAAATGACAAGTTTTGAATGTAAATTTTGAATATTAGAGATCTGAAAGAATAGAGAAATTGGCATATGACAAAGGCTCCATAATCCAATTAAAATTCAAATGGAAATGGCTGTGATAATAGGGAGATTCAAATATTAGAAGGTTTAACAATTGACAAATTTTGAATGTAAATTATGAATATTAGAGATGATAAAATAGAGAAATTGGTATATGACGAAGGCTTGCTTATAGAAAAAGAGTTTTGGATCTAAAACTAGTTGAGCACATGAAGATTCAATAATTATACGTAATATGTTATATTCTTATCATCACACAATTCTTACAAATGATCAACCCATGAAGATTCAACACTTCATGCAATATGTTACATTTTTTTCATCACCTAATTCTAACAAACGATCAATTTAACCTCTCCATTAGGTATTCAATGAAGGCAAGAGATATTGATAGTCATATTTGACCCAAGAGAGGATGGAAAGCTTACTTATGGAGAAAAACTAGTTGAAGTAATGAAGATTTAATACTTGCAATCAACTTCTTTCTATTGCACATATCAACGATGCATGAGAATGTTACATTCTTTTCATCACCTAATTCTAACAAACAATCAATTTAACCATTACGATTACTTTTGTTCTCCATCCTGGGGTAGTGAAGGGAGATTGTCTAATAGCCTTATTTGACCCGAGAGGGGCCGAGTGTCTAAGGAGACAAACTTTAGGTGTTTAGGTTGTTTATCCAATAAATATTAACATGTATTCATGAGATGAATAAATAAATATTAGAGAGAACTATTATAAATAAATATTAAAGATAACTATTATTTGAAATTGAAAGTAGTTGACTTTGTATGATGTACATCTAGTGACACATACACATAGGTCTGACTTAAATAAAAAAAATCTGTAAATATCTCATTAACTTGAATTCACCTGCCCTTGGTATTTCACTTGGTCCAATAGTTTCAAGAGGTTGAGCAACAGGTGAAGCTTAATATAGGCAATTATCAAAAGTACGATGGGCTCTTTTTGTGGCCTTCAACAAGGGAAGAAAAATTGTAAAATTCTTCAAGAAGTAAGAAAATATTATAAACAGTCTACTTCTGATTAGATATTTAAAGAAATCTACTTCCAGTCAAAAAAATTAATAGAAGAATAATCAACCACTCTACGATCTACAATTTGGGTTTGTTAGCATAAATATTTTAAACAATCTGCTTAATCAATTTTTTTAATGAAGAAACATCAACCACTCTACAATCTACCTTCTAGGTTTCTTTAGCATTAATTTTCATCTGGAGGGAGAATGTTGGAGTTCTAAATAGTGATCATATTGTGGGAAGTAATATTGTAAAACTCTAAGGGTAATTTAGAAAAGATCTGATACAATTTAGGGGGTAGTAAAGGTCAATGAAACTTGAGGTTGTTTTATCCCATTACTCTCTTTTGTCCTTTGCGACTGGTTTTTTTTCCTCCAATCCATTGAAATTTCTATATTATTGATCAATTATGAAATCGATCTCACACCTAAATCAATAAAATCGAGGATCCAACACTAAAATATTACTTAGGAGTACTATGATTCAAAAGTTAATGATAAAAATAAAGATATCAGAGAAAAATAAATGAAACTTTCTAAATAAAATATGATAGAGTGCAAGCTTATCAAGTCATAACAAATGCGATTTTAAATATTGATTTTCTATTTTCGAGACTGATCCATTCTTTGCAATGTAATGTTTATCTTTAACCTTTGGATAAATTTTCCAAGTTATTGTGATTACCAAATCAATGAGAAGATAAAGAATAGTTTGGAGATTCAAATTTGAAAAAGTTTATTTCATTGGTGTCAGATAAGTAATTTGATAGAAAGTGAAATAAAATCAGATGATCTAGAGTTGACATGGACGCCAATTGTTCTCCATCAAGTTATGCATATAGGAACGTATGGACACCTACATGGAATTAAAAATAAATAAAATATTGGAATATCAGGCTACGGTCTTCTACCTGGTCCATAGCCGTTGTCCTTAGTTTTACAATCAACTAACAACTTCGAATGGCCAGAAAAATGCCTAGCAGCACTCCAATGCCTTCGCTCATACTGATCCTAGACACCGAAAAAAATGAAAGCGGCAATCTCACATCACATCCTAATCGTTAGACGCTTTCATCGGAGTGTGACTTGGCCTGAACAAGTTGCTTTGTTATTGAAATGAAGGTTTTAGAATCGAAGTGCAAGATGTGAAAAATTTTAGACTCGCACGCTGTCACTATATTAGCTCGAATTGATTTACATCAAGAGTACGTACATGGAAGAACATGACAAGTTCAGGCGGTGGATGAAAAGCAGATAACAGGGAACAACAATCAGGAGATGGGACTCAGCCGGAGATCTCGATGGACTTCACCTCCGGCTTCTTCACCTGTTCCTCCTCCTTGGGGACGGTAACGGTCAGCACACCGTTCTCCATAGACGCCCGCACCAGATTCACCTTCGCGTTCTCCGGGAGCCGGAACCGCCTCAGGAACCCGCCGCTGCTCCTCTCCACCCGGTGCCACGTGTCGTTCTTCTCCTCTTTCTCCTTGCTCCTCTGCCCGCTGATCTGGAGGATGCGGCCCTCCTCCACCTCCACCTTCACCTCTTCCTTCTTCACCCCCGGGAGGTCGGCCGTGAAGACGTGAGCCTCCGGAGTCTCCTTCCAGTCGACGCGGGCGGCGGCGAAGGCGGAGGTCTCGGAGTCCCATCCGCGGTGCGGGAGGGAGAGGGAGAGGGAGCCGTCGCCGCTGCCGAAGGGGAATCCCCGAGGAAAGGGGTCCCAGACATCCAGAGAGAAGGGATCGAAGACGTCGGTGCTGCGCCTCCCGAAGAAAGCTGGGATCAACGACATCTCTCTTTGCTCGAAGAAATCAGGCAAGAAGATTGCTGGGAAGGGAATTGAGATGATGATCACTTTGGTCACTCGGTCTAGTTGTGGATTTGTCAGTGGGGATGGATGAATTTATAGGGCGGTTAGCGCGGGAGAGTGGAAAAGTCTAGAATATTTGAGATTGTTATATTCCATTTATTTAATCAATTATGCTACCTAATAATCGCGCCTTATTTGAAAACCCGGAGGTATGATAAACCAGGTGGAACTCTCTAGAAGATTCTACTTCACAAAGGCATCGACGGATCTGGGTTCTTCTCGAGACGGAAACTCGCCGAAGATCTCGGGTCTTCTCGCGAGACGCACAAAAAGAATTCTCCGAAAGATCGCGACTCTTCTCGAGACAGAAACCCCCTGCGTTCCGCCGCGGCTCCAGACTCTCTACTCGAGCGGTCCATAACACGAAGACGGTCTCGATCTAAACTCGCAAAGCTGCAGCGACTTGTATGGTTAACTGCACAAAAATGTGCAATCTATTAAAGCAGAGCTACGCATCCAAATATTTCAACTTATCGAGATAAAAAAATTTAAAATTGTGCATGAAATTATTGGGTCTTGAACGTTGTCCTAGTTGAACAGTAGTAACGCCCGAAGTGAGGCATGGTGGGCCACGTATGACCGAAAGCCACTTTTCTTCGGCCGAAGAATTGGGCCTTAATGGGCCGAGTTGAGCCACGACGGTCCCACCTGGAGAGGACCCCAGTTGGCTCGAGACACGTCAGCCGTCCGTTACGTTGGCGACGGACGTACAACTGGTCCGGGCGGTAGCGCCGCTCCCTGTCCCGACCGTTGCTCTCGATTTCAAAATCCCAAACCGCCTCCCCAAATGTCCATCCTCACACTCCCCCATCGCCCGCCACCACCTCGCCGCCGGCAGCGGCCAGCCATGGTTTCTCAGAGGATCGTTAAGAGGACCCCCACCAAGAGGACCCTCAAGCAGAGCCCCACCGCCCGCTTCCATGGCCGCCGCAGCAGGTCCTCCCCGCTCAAGGACATCGCCTCCGTGCCCACCCTCGTCGCGGCCTCCATCGATCGCTCCATCCGCAGCTGCCGCCGCCGCCTTATCAAGGTCTTCACCCGACTGGTCTCCCTCAGCGCCTGCGGCAGCGCCGCCGCCGCCGCTGCCGGAGCCCAGAAGAAGCGGCGGAAGAAGCAGGGCTTCGTACTCCTGAACGCCGCCGCCTTCCCGCCGGCGGAGGGAGGGGAAGACGGCCCCGCTCCTCCTCCTCCTCCTCAGCTCCAGATCCGCCGGCCGCTCCCTTCACCGGCCTGCGCCGGCAGGAGGACCCTCTTCTTGGACCTGGACGAGACGCTGGTTCACTCCCAGACCAGCCCGCCGGTGGAGAAGTATGACTTCGTGGTGCGCCCCACTGTCGACGGGCAAATCCTTACCTTCTACGTGGTGAAGCGACCCGGCGTGGAGCAGCTGCTGGCGGAGGCAGCGAAGCACTTCGAGATCGTCCTCTTCACCGCCGGCCTGAGGGAGTACGCCTCGCTCGTGCTCGACCGCCTCGACCCCCATGGCGAGTTCATCTCCCACAAGCTGTACCGCGACTCCTGCTCGGAGATTGAGGGCATCCTCACCAAGGATCTGTCGGATCTAGGAAGGGATCTGAGTCGGGTGGTGATCGTCGATGACAACCCCAACTCGTACGCGTTGCAGCCGGCGAACGCAGTCCCCGTGGCTCCCTTCCTCAACGATCTCAGTGACCGGGAGCTATGGCGGGTGATGGAGTTCTTCGCCGTGGCCGGCGACTTCGAGGACACCAGGGACGCCGTCAAGAGTTTCCTTTCCACCGGAGGAAAGAAGACCGAGAAGAACCCACTGCCCTGATTGCGAGGGGAGGAAACTCGTCGCAGCAGCAGAGGATGATCCTTCCACGGGGAGGATTCCAGCAGCGAGTGGACTTATTATTCTTGGGATCTGACTTCCACTGTGATTGGTCTCTGAAGAAAAAAAAAAGGAAAAAAGATATCAACTCTCTGAGAATCTTCATGCCCGATCGACGTGTGCCCCCTTTCGATCGACGAACACATCTGTTTTTGGGTTCCAATCTCGGGCTTGTTCTTCTCAATCAGATAATAAGCTACAAACAAAAAGGCATATGGGTCTCTCCCTCTTTCTCTCTCTAATCATCCCACAGTAGCTGTAATAATCCTATGGTTTTTCTAATAACACTCGAAATATCTTGAACTATTGGGTAATATTTTTGCACCAAAATGCACACTTTTTCTAATAACCCTTGAATAATTCTTCAGAGAAAAACAACTCCTCCCAAGAAGCGTAGCGTCGCCAAGGCAAGCACAAGGAAAGCGCCTGATATATTTCCAGAATTTCTTCTTGGAATAAAATTTATCGGAATATATCAAAAAAGGGGGAGGGCAACAGGGGATCCCATTCCGGGACCCCACCACATCGGCACCAATGAATCAAAAAATGACAGGGATGAAACCCAAAGTTATAAGATGGATACCATGGTTTCTGCCAAAATGCCATGTACTTCTTCATGACACGTCACCAGCAACCAGAGATGGACAGAAATGGTTTCCATACTATATTTTCTTTTTCTTTCATGCATCCCACGGAGACAACTTTGTAGTACAGGAGCAAGGGGGGGTTCAAAGCTTATATACATTCACCTGTACAGCACGGGGGAGAATCAGAACTCAACACCACTGTTCAACTGGATCGAGAACGAAGGGCGGCCAAAGTTGCTGAGAGGCTTCTCTACTCTTAGAACCACTCCAGAGCTCCCCACATGCCCATTAAATTTGGACCTCCCAAGCTGCTCAATAAATAAATAAATAAATCAATCCACGAGACACCCAATGAATGGACAGACGAATGAATCAGGTGTGTAAAAGATGATTAGCTTATAAATATGAGAAAATAAGAGAAGAGAAGGGGACTGAAGCCGGTGCAAACTTACAGCGACTGATGCATACACAGAAGGATGGGTCGCACACCAGTGGCCCAAGACGAGACTGATGTTCTCCTCCACAGAGTGGATGACCTCTGTCTGCAAGCCAGGGTTGCTTCCGCCCAATGTAGGGCATAAGCTAGAAACAAGAAGGAACGCATCAAATGTATATTCCCAGACCATGCTCAAGAACTAGTCGCCCTGATGGCTATTGCTTTCTCAAATCGGAAATATGAAATTGGTTGACCTCCTGAAGAAGGGGGCTAATGGAAAAGCCGGCAGAATGGATGAAGAGTGACACATGCTCATGAAATAAATAATATAGTACTCATTAAAAACGGATCCTAGAAAAAAGTAAGCAAGGAAGCATAACCCCCAACCCCTGCTGCATCAGTCAGCCTGTTTGAAAGCATCCAACTTCTTAGCCATCTCCTCTTGCCAAATATAGTTTACAAATGACCGACAACCTTTGAACCAACCACTCACCCCACCCCAAACTACCTTTCGTCAGTCTCACAGCCATGCTAACACTCCGGAATGACTCATTAAACACATTTACATTAGTGAAAACAGAAAAAATCCCAGTTTCCATATTTTGGAAAGTAGAAAAAATAGTTAAATTATGCATGGATCTGAATCAACTGCCGCCTCAGAGCTGTAGGCGACACGTATTTTATAAGGTGATTGAGGCGACTGCATAAATAAGTAAAATTGGCAAGTAAAATCGACACGATTGGAAAATGTTGTACGTGAAAAGGTTATATAGGCCCACACCTGAACTGAATACTCGGGCGCACCATCAGACCACATCTCTTCCATGCTAAAGGTTGCATAACCCCAAGAGAAAAAGATTTATCAGGCCACTGCATCATGGGTGAAATACGAGTTCCCCACTTATTCTGCCCAAAACACAACACAGAGTGGTCAAGATGCAGACAACTCAGAGGATTATTTAAGTTCTGGTGGCATATCATCAGCATGACTGACAATAATAATGATTTTGTTTACAATAAAGACGACCTAAATCCCAATGGAAAGGGCAGGGATGAAAGAAACATTAACCCATACACTTTTTGGATTCCATAATCTATTAAATAAGACGAATCATCTTAATTATTAAATATCACCTATATATATAAACTTTAAGTTAAATCAAGATGATAGAACCCAAGCAGATAGAGGAAAAGGTGCAGATTCAGAGAATGGATAGGGTCCTAGGAAAAGGCACATGTTATTCATTTTCATTGGTTAGTAAATAATGCAAAATTTAAAAATCCGTAGACAATAATGAACACGCACATACCTATATAAGATTTAAAAGGAACAACAAAACAAGGAATATATTATATGGCATCTATAATTGAAACGTCAAGAGTGAGGTTAATGACAGATTATTTCACGAATAAAGAACCAACCTTGCAAGAGAAGCTAAATTTTGTTTCACCAGGATATTGACCTTGAACCTGGAGCAATCCACCAAATAAAGGAAAGAAAGCACTGGTGTTCAAGCCCTCACCAGCCACATAAGTAAGCTGCCCATTTGGGAACTGCAAATCCATGAATGACTGTAACAAGGATGAAATCAAAGTCAAAGTGAGGCCATATCAAGACATTAGAATTCATTCCATCTAAATTAATATAGGAATAAAAGAATATGAGTTTAACAAGGGGAATGGAATAGGCACTTACACACGCCAATGGATTGAGACATATCATTGACATCAACAGCCATCTTCTATGCTTTGACCATATAGCAGGACAAAGAGAATGCATTCCATTCTGAATGAAGAAGAAAAACAAATCACTATCAGTAATGTGAAGGGTAAGCCAATTACCCAGTTGCAGGCTCAAAGACGAGTAAACGAGCATATGCATATGCCTGGAAAGAAGACAGATAGGAGAAGAGCTATGATAATAGGATAGGCGATGACTCATGTCACTTATCAGCTCCCATGGCCTGATACACCGACCCCCTAGTGGCTGTACAATGCAACTGCGACGATGCAAAAGATAAAAAAATGCATTCCACATGGACACATAATACAGATGCCCTCTACACGTACACTTATCAAATGTGACTCACATATTGGTGGCAATCACTTCATTAATCCATAGAAACAATGAACCTCTCCAGATATTCAACTGGGTATGAATGCAGCACGCATTTCTATTCATAACAACATGATTTCTTCCACAATCTCACAAATATTCAAAACTTTCAAGTCATCTGGGAGGGGACCAAATGTAGAAAGTTAATTCCCTTTGTCTTTTCACCTAGCAATATGGCAGGGTCTTTGAGACACTACTGCAGTTCTTTTGTTTTTCAGTCAAAAGTAAACCGGTCGTATAGCACTAGCCTTACAACACACAAGCACAAAGAAAAGAAAGCCCAAATGCTGAAATGTTCTTCTAGCACACGGCACAGCATAATGCATGATCAGAAGAACATATATAAGAAGTTGACAAATGTAAAGTTTAAATTGAATGGGATACAAAGACACAACTAAGTATACAAATGATGTAAAGTCACCAAAACTAGTAGAAAAACACCAGGGTCCAAAACATTAAAAAACAAAAACGAGGGGAAAAGGAAATTGAAAGTTATCAATGCAAAAAAGTGGAGCATTGCCACCACAAAGAAATTAAATTCAAGAAAATAAAAAAAGAAGAAGGTAGGGTTCACAAAAAGAATCATTCCCAGAGAAGGAAATAAATTACCTTTCGATCATATCCATACCAAAGCAAATGCTGCTTTGATAAGTGAACAGGCAAGAGAAGTGTTGTATCCCGGACGAATAAGACTGGTCCGAGCTGAATGAGAAAGAGAGGGGAATTCTCATTTCCACGATTAGAGCCCCCATGAGAAGCTTCTGCTCTCCACAGGTCTCCTCGGGCAACTAAAGAACTTTCAATATCACGTGTTCTGCTGTCATATGTTGACGTAAAATTCATGCTCCCCTGAAAAAGATAATACAGAAATAAATAACGAGGTTACAAAGCTAATATCACTAGAGCTTAGATAATTCAAGGTTTTACACAAAAAACATATACTTGTATTATTTACAGGCTCATACTTTTCCAATGTAACTTATCTGTAAGTCCACATGGTTTATGGGGAGTATCTTATGCAGACGTGCCCCATCTTATCTCATAGATGGAATATCACCAAATAATATCCCTCAACCAAAAAAAAAAAAGAGCTCTTCAATATGAACCAAGCTAGTAAATTGATAGAAGTTAAATGACTCAACATACGTTCAAAATCGACTCAACTGGATAGCATATTCTACAAGCCGAAAGATTTTCTGTGTAGATTCAGGTACAACAAAAAGAGGGCGAGCTAACGACCAAAAATATAAGCCATTTTCGAAATTTCTTGTCTCTAATATGAAGAAATCCCCTTGGTGCTGTCGGCAAATTATGAAAAATATCATCTTAATAATGGAATAATGCTTCCATAAACAACAACCCCCAAGGTAAGCAAAAGGTAGAATTTAATCAACATATCTAATATATTGACGAGAAACCGGCCTAACATTAGTTCTTAATGCTGTAAAATCAAATTATAACTAGAATTCTATCAATCTTTCTCCAAGATAATTTTAAAAAATTACCATACACAGAAAAGCAGAAGCATGAATAAATCAAAGAAATGTGGTAGATGGCTCTCTTTTGGAGCCCTAAAAAGCAATCAAAAACACACTCCAGAGGTTCAGCTCTCTTCAGTAGATAACCTGACACTTAGGGTTTTGATCAATATTGCCAAAACCAAGGTTGAAGATGCAATCAGGATATGACTTATACACAACTTCTAGAAAAGGTTCATTAAATCGACGATCTTTGTTGAATAAAAATTAAAGTTTCATGTAAAACAAGCAATGATTGACCTCTCATGGGATCCTTAGGATCACATTAAAGTCTTACAGACGTTGTTTCTGCAAAATTCTAAAAAAAAATCTTGAATATATCTTTTCTGATAAATGTAGAGAACAAACGATACCTATTGTTCAAAGATATGTATAATTTCAGCATGATACCAGGCATTTCAGGTGGTTACAATTCTCTACAACGATCTTATTCGGACTGATGCAACAACCTAAACATCAATCATGGTGGGTTCTTCTGTGGATGAAGAATACTTGATGACACAGAGATGATCAACTAGGGTATTCATTGGCCAAGTATGAATTTCAAGACTAAAACTTACTTGCGGCCTGGCAAAATGAGCGGAAGATTTCAGATCGAAGTCGAATCCATCTTCCTCCCCAAATTCATCCAAACCAACCACAGAACCCAGGGACCCAGAGTTTCCAAACATTCCCTCTACTTGACCAAGCTCCCCTCTACACCTCTCCACCATTGTGTTGCCTACTCTTCTGCCCTCCAGGTCTGCCGTGATTAAAGCAGCAGGCTTCCCATCGTCGTCCTGCCGAAACGGCATCGGCAGATGCCGGAAGAATTGTTGAACCACTCCATTGATGCAGGCTCCGAGCTCCGCTCCTGCCTGGCCCAGCTTGTTCCCTATGTCAAAGATGGCGGACACTCCACCGTTGCTGGCGGAGTGGTCGACAGCCAAAGGCAGCGCGAGATTCCAATTGGTGGGGATAAGGACCTCATGATCAAACGGATTCTTCAGTTTCTGCTGTGCAGGCCAAGAGAAGGGTGGAGGGGTGATGTGCGACTGGAGCAGGCCACTGAAGCCTTGCGCCAGCCGATCTGCCAAGTCCTGTCCTTGGCGCTGCATCTCCTCCCATCCCTCCAGCTGCCGCTCCACGGACATGAGAGGTGTACGGAGAGAGACGAAGGCCGTTCTCGTCGAATTAATTTAAAGAAAATAAAACTAGGGTTCCGATGAAGATCAAAGGAAAGGGAACGCAACCAGGAGAGGGCCTGAAAATTCCGCGACCTCGGAAGGAGAAAAAGGAAGGGAAGAAAGCAGGACAACGAGACGCACGATATAAGCACCAAACTGGTATTAACAGGAGCTAAGGTTTCGTCCAAGATCAAAGACAAAAGGGATCAGGAGAAGGAAGAGATAAGAATGAAAGAGTGGACTCAGAGGTGTGAGAGATTTGGAGAATTTCTCTAGAAATGGAAGAAAATCGGTGAGCCGAACAGAGAGAAAACGTCGTTCACGAGAGCCCCACGCGGGGGCGTCCGGATACTCGGGCTTATACCTCACCCGCTTTGTTTCGCCGCTGACGAACCCGGTTTCCGGCACGCAGGAATCGCCGTGCATATCTCTTGAAAGGGTACGGATATTTCTACAAAATCCTCATTTCGTGGAGTGTAAATTATTCGAGATTTCTGAATTTTTTATATTTTTCTGCTAGGGAAAAAATCGGGAAAATATTTACGGAATGAGGAAAAAACCGAGATGGCGACGAGGTAGACAGCGAGACGAATCATTGAGGTCAGCGAAATAAGTCCGACTAAATCGATTACAGTTATTTTCGACACCATTTTTCGATAAATTCGTGGCACGCTCAGAGAGAGAGAGAGAGAGAGAGAGGATGGCATCGGACGTGACACACGTGCCACGGAGCCCGTGAGAACACGTCACCTGCAGAGCGTGGGTCGTGTCGGGGATCGCACGTCTGTGGTTTTTTTCAAACAAAACCCTCCTCTCCTTTATGCTGTGTATTACACGCTCAATTATACGAGCGTGGGGGGTTACTAATTTAAATATCTTGTTTTAAAATGTCGTAATTATATTTTTTATGTTTTTTGGTGATTCATAAATACTTTTTGAGCAATTTTCTTGGTAGTAGTATATTTTTATTGCTGCGTAGGATTTAAGACGGCACGCATCCGTCTTCCCGACGAGGATGTTTCCTCCATCTAATTGCGCCGGGTTTCCTTGCCCTCTTTGCGAGGATTTCACGGCAGAGACGGCTCCCCGTGGCCGGTCCCCTTGATGGCTGATCACAAGCTCTACCCGTCTGTGGAGGGCGACGAGGCGGTCCCCCCGGCCGTCCTTGAAAGCAGGGACGGCGCCGCCCGCCGAGGAGGAAGGATTTGGGCTCGTTCGGACTCTCGAAGGGAAGAAGGAGAGGAAGAGGGTGATTCGGAGGATGACGGGCGTGGGGGTCTCGGGGGAAGCCCCTATGTCCAGGTATAATCTCTCTTTCGTTTGTTGCTCGGTTTCTTAGACTGATCGAATTGTCCGTCCGTCCGTTCGTTGATCAGAAAAGGCGAGCATTATTTTCTTTTTATCGCTTCGTCTCTGGACTGGAATTATTCTACCGTGACCTCTGTTTTGTCAGATTCAACTTCAAGGACGGAGGAATAGCCTCTTTCGTCTTTTTTCCGTCATTTTCGTCATGATCTCAACGGCTTTTCTCTCAATTTTTAATGGAAAATAATCAAGTAGCATGTTAATCATTACCTCATCGTCATTCTTTGATTCTCATTTCCGTGTTTTACCCCCATGTTTACCATGCAGATTAATTGGTTGGGTTATGAATCATGAATACTCAACAGATTCGTCTTTTCCTGCCTGCATCAATGATTCCAAATCATTTGTGTTACCTTTCTCCGTATATTTGACATTTCTAAATTTCAAATGATCCAATCTCCTCACCTTATCCGGAAATTGGAATTAGGGAGCGGGTGATGAGGAGGTGCGAAATGAAGATTATGATAAGCTAGCCCTGGTTACCAGTGGTCCTCCGACACAAGAGGTGGCCCTGGCCCATGATTATGACCCCGATGATCCTCATGTTTCTGGTGGTAGGAAGACAGGCAGATACTTTTATTATGATGCTCCTCTCCACGAGGAGACTGGCGTGTGGATACCCGTGTCTGTGCCACCAATGTCTGAACAGGATCACGACCAATGGGCCAAAGGTTTCTGCTCCAACGGGGAATTCTTCCCCGAAGAGGACATGGGATGGGGTCAATTTGTCGGGGAAGATAAGGAAATGACCCTGTGGGACGTTGTCTCGGAGATGATTCTTACTGCAAGAGGCAAAATGACCGCCCTGACATCTGGGGAGCTCCAGAGTTGCAGGATCTCCTGGATATCCACTCACCTACTCGACCAAGCGTGGAAGGAGATGGCACATACTCTGACAGAGGCTAATTTTAGCAACACCATGGAAATTCTGGACACTGAGCCCCCAAGATGGCTACCGGACAGTGCTGCTTCTGCCTGCATGCTGTGTGGTGTGAGGTTCCATCCCATCATGTGCTCTCGACACCATTGTCGCTTCTGTGGTGGTATATTCTGCAGCGATTGCTCAAAAGGGAAGAGCTTGTTGCCGCAGAAGTTTCGGGCCTGTGACCCACAGCGAGTGTGTGATGTGTGTTGTGTGCGGCTTGAGTCTGTTCAGCCGTTCTTGATGGATAAGGTGAGCCCTGCATCACAGGTACCCACACATGATCTGACTGATCTCAGCACACTCAGATCGTGGATAAACTTCCCGTGGGGGCAGTCCATGGAGCACGAGATTTACAAAGCAGCTAACACGCTCCGTGGCTATTCTAAGGTATGATGAACGCCATTGTGGCTTGTTTGTCTGGTCGTTTTGAGTTGGTCCAATCCCTGATTCTGCAATACTCTGATCATTACAGTTTTCCCTTGTAAAATATTTTTTATCATTAAAAACCCGCGTTAAAAACCATACAAATGGTGGCACTTTGATTTTAAGAAATATTATGGTTCTCCCTTCTTTCTTGTTGTCAGGTGTTGAGGATGGTTGGCAACCAGTTCATATAGGTTGAAAACATCACCGTATGTCGGATTGTTCCTGGGGAAAATATTGAGCACAAGTCAAAAAGAAAAAAAATGGCAATGCTAATTCACAAGTACTGTAGAAAATGCTAGGTGACCCTCCGAAAGACATTGCATGATTCAATCAGTTGAAGATTCGCAACTAGAATTGGGTAGTCCGAGTCTTCTTTTGATTTAGTAAGGAAATACAATGAATAACCATGAACCTGTGAGATTAGGCTGTTTCCTACATTTACTTTTTCTTTGGTCATTGTTAGTGGGGAACCCTTGTCTGGTGGGAACATGCAGGAACTTCGGGTTGAACAGGTTGCTGAGACAAGAAACACAGATTCTTCAAAGCAGTATGTTGCTTGTTTGACGGGGACAAAAGGATTATTTAATCTTTTTTTCCAAATTGGCTCTGGTCGGTTAATCCTTCAACTTCATTAAAACCTAAACATTCTCATCTATGAATGAGAGATCTAGGCAACGTAGTCCAAAATAACACCCTTAGATTTGTCCAAGTACTTGGGGATTCTTGATTTATAATTTATTTTTTATCACTATGCCCTTTAATTATTTCAAACATTCTCTTGTGAATCATGTGGTGAAATTATGAAATAAAACTGACCTATAAGCTGATGGCGATGAGAAATTACTACTCAGGTGGGTTCCCTCAGACCTGAGAAATCCATCCCTCAAGCTGTGCTGAGGCAGGCGAAAGGCCTCGCAATACTCACCGTCGTCAAAGTTGGGCTGATGGTTACTTATAACATTGGAACCGGGTTGGTTGTCGCTCGTAGAGAAGATGGATCCTGGTCTCCACCATCTGCCATTTCCACCTTCGGCGTTGGGTGGGGCCCCCAGGTATGATGCTTCCCCACACATGCGTATATATATATACATTGATAAAGACTTTTGTACATCTCTGATTTTAAGTGGATGGTGCGCAATGATTAACCGGTACATTCCATGTTTCTTCATAGGGGGGAGGGGAATTGACCGATTATATTATAGTCTTGAGGAACAAAGATGCCATCAGGACCTTCAGCGGAAATGGGCACTTCTCAGTTGGAGCTGGTCTCAGTGCAGCTGCCGGGGTTTTCGGGCGAGCTGCCAATGCTGACCTGCGTGCCGGTGATGGGGGCTGTGCCGCCTGCTACACATACAGCTGCAGTAAAGGTGCGATCTTTATTTGTGAATCCTGTGCCCATCAGCTCACTTAAGTTGCTCACTCTTTATGGAATCCTCAGGGGCCTTCGTCGGATGCTCCCTGGAAGGAAGCATGGTCGTGACCAGAGCGTCGGAAAACTCGCGGTTTTATGGGAGTTCGTCCATTGACTCGTCGGAGATTCTCCTGGGATCATTGCCCCGGCCGCCCGCCGCCGCCATCCTCTACCGGGCTCTGTCGGAGCTGTTCCAGAGGCTGGACGTCTGACAGAGTCGGCCCGCCAACAGCAAATCCAGCATCTATGCTCTGAACAAGGGCACCTATTCTTTCGAACATCCTGAAGCGGACGTATTTTCCATTCATGGGATTCGAGAAATGTACATATATAGTAAGTTTGTGCATGAATGTAATCATCTGTATCTATGCTCCGCATTGACGGTTGGTAAGTAAATAATCGTGGAAATTAGAAACTTTCTAGAACGGGTTTCTTTCCACGGGTAAGCGAGGACAGGCCAACGCGTGCCCCGGGGGGTTGGAGGGGTCGGTCGGGAGGAAGCTTCGTGTTCTAGAAGGGAGCAAACGACAAGGATGGTTGTTGTTGTTGTTCCTCCACGAGCCGCGGGGAAATCGTCGCCGGCGGCGATCGAGTCGGTCGCGGGAGTGGCGATTTCTGGGCGAGCGGCGGGCCCTTCTCTCTCCTTTGACCTCCTGTGGCGGCTAGCTCCGTCGAGGGCCAAGAGGGAAAAGGTTAATTTTACACCGAATTTTCGGACCAGCCGGATTATGTCGGGTAGAACCTTCTCATTGTGTCGGGGTTTGGGGGGGATTGAATCCCTCACTTTCCATGGTTAGGACGATATTTAGGCAAATCTTTGGTCAAGTTGACGTTGACGGGGGGATCGCCATAAGCGTCCACGTAAAGGCGATATATTACCTACGGATAGACCCCTTAGAAAAGTCAACGTGGTGGCGGGCTCGCTCCCCTCTTCATCTTCTCTAGAAACCCAGACCGATTCTCCTTCCTCGAAGTCAATATTGCTGCTACTCCCGCGGGTACCATGGATCTGATCAGGCGTCACTTCTGGGTCAGTTGCAGAAATATTTCCTTGGAACCCATCAGATCATGTCTTTGCAATTGGAATTAAGTTTTGGGGACAAGCTGGTCCGGGAGGCCGTTCATGGCGGGCTCCTAAGCTAAAGAAGAAAACTCTCTCTCGCCCCCCCTCTCTCTAGAGTCACGGACGTTCCTCATTGGAGGAGGGGATCTTTCCTTTATCTCCCTTTCCAAATTGTTACCCTTTTGGCGTCTGCCCTTTTCCCCGAATTAGCTCTTCTCCCCCTGGCGGAAGCCCTCCGATATTGAGACGAGCAGGAGGAAACCCGTCCGCTGTGCTTCCCAGGTCGAATTCGAGGGGAGGAGGGGTCGCCGGAGCTCCTCGTCCTCTTTCCCTGCGTGTGTCGATGTAGGTTCCGCCAGGTCGAGGTCGCTGCGGAGGTGGATAGGGTTTCCAGGCGCTCGGGAGGAGACTTCCGCGACATGGACGGATCAGAAGGAGGGTCGAATTCGCCGCCGCCCTTTTTGATCAAGACGTATGAGATGGTGGATGACCCCGCCACCGACTCCATCGTCGCCTGGGGCGCGGCCAACAACAGCTTCATCGTTTGGAACCCGCTCGAGTTTTCCAAGGATTTGCTTCCCAAGTACTTCAAGCACAACAACTTCTCCAGCTTCGTCCGCCAGCTGAACACCTACGTGAGTGAAATCCTTCCATCTATGCTGGCTCCCTTTTTTTCTCTTTCGAATCGTATCAAGCCTCGTCGGAAGATCAGTCGTCGTCTCTATTCCAGTCCTTGATATGATTTCGACATCAATATCGATGAGATGATGCTGATCTTCATCCTCTTCCATAGCGCTATCTCACTTAGTGAGAATGTTTTCAAGTTTCTGATTTCAGTTCTGCGTTATTCAGATGCGATTATATGCTTAGGCGACTTTCTCGCGATGCTCATTTTCTTCTCTGAGATTAGATCGTGGCATTTTCTCCTCAATCAGGGCTTCAGAAAAATAGATCCCAACCAGTGGGAATTCGCAAATGATGAATTCATAAGAGGCAAGAAGCATCTCCTGAAGAATATTCACCGCCGGAAGCCGATCCACAGCCATTCTCTGCACCACCAGAGCTCCTCAGGGTCCTTAACCGAGGGGGAAAGGCAGGAGCTCGAGGAGGAGATCGAGAAACTGAAACACATGAAGAACGCCCTCCTTGTGGAGCTGCACAAGCACACCCAGGAGCAGCATTCTTTGGCATTTGAAATCCAGTCTCTGGAGGAGCGGCTGCGGAAAGTGGAGGTCCTACAGCGGCAACTAATAGCCTTCCTGAGACCGACCCTGCACAGACCTGGCTTTCTTTCCAGCCTCATCCAGAAATCCGAGGTCCATGGAAGGAAGAGGAGATTGGCCAAATCTCTTTACCTCGGTGATGATGGTGGACTAGAGGAGACCCACATAATTCCCTTCCAGTCCGAGATCACTGACAGAGCAGACCCTGCATCTGTTCTGGTTCTGGACCCAGAACCATTTGAGAAGATGGAATCATCCTTGATCTCCCTGGATAAATTCTTTCGTAGGGTCGGTCATGCATCTGGGGAAGCTTATGACTTGATCTCAACGAACAGATCATCAGTGGTTCTCACAGAAATGCACCCATCGTCTGGGGATACAGAGTTCAGCTTTCAATCTCGATCACCCGAGCTGCCAATGGGGGTTTTGGTGGAGTCCACGGATTTTGCCGAAAGCCCTGTCATCCCTCTCATTGAGCTTCATCATGAACGGTCGAAGATCTCTCAGATTGATGTGAATTCGGCGCCTGCTGCTCCCGAGGATCCTTCCTCAGAGGATCGAACCAAGGGGCCCTCGTCTACTTCTGCCCGGACGGGTGTGAATGATATGTTTTGGGAGCAGTTCCTCACTGAGACCCCTGGCTCATCTGACAACCAGGAGTCCCAATCAGAGGGCCAGGACATAAATTCCAGAGAAGCCGACGTTAAGACCACAGAAAAGGGTAATTTCTGGTGGACCAGGAAGAATGTTGACCACATAACAGAGCAAATGGGTCATCTCACTCCAGCTGAGCGGACCTGATGAAGTCTTCCTCCTCGCCCTCTTGGTGCAGTGACTGTGTTTATAATATAAAGCTGAGTATTCTTCTTACTCTTATTTGGCTCTGTCCTCTGTTCACGGAATATCTTTAGACCTTGTGTATTATTTCTGTATTCCGTTGTTCTGTATAAATTTTTGTGACGCCCTTCCGCTTGCTCCGTCTTCCTACCTAATTTTTTTCTCCATCCGGTATTGTTTCTGTGGGGGGTATGATCTTCCAGCCCTGTAAATTTTTTAACATAATTATGGAAATTTGAAGGATTTAGATGAATCATTGTATCACAGAATGGAAGACTGCCCAAACAGAAAAGAAAGAGGAAGATGAATCATTGTTGACTTCCTTTTCTTGGCGAAGGTGGTTGATTGAAGATGCGAGAAATTAAACAGGCGGGAAACCGTTGACCATGTTAAGTTCTCATCCATATTAAGTTGATTTTTGTGAGGAAAATGTTGCCTATTAATAGGTTCATGCTGCTTGATTCCAGAATATTGTTGACCTGCTTGATGCAAGAATGCTATTAACTTGTATCAGTCGATCTGCTCGTGATAATGTCTGTAAAATAAATATTATTCTATATTTAGTTGTCAGATTTATCTCGGAAGGGAAATGGGCTTCCATGTTATGTGGTGATGCCCATATGCGTTAATATCATCTTCTTGAAGGAGAATTTTAAGCGGTTCATATCCTGAAATGCAGAAATTCCATGGGAAAATACCCAAACATTCTTCTTCTCCCTCATTTTGCAATTTTCCCCGATTTTCCTCCCATATTTTGTTGATGGAAGTAATTATTTCCAATGTATAGCAATACCTAATTTGCCCCTCTGTCTAGCTCTGCTGCAACATAATGCATTCTAATCCCTCTTTTAGAAGCATCGTTGTGAGACCATCCCAGGAGCTGTACTCGATTCCGGTGTCACGGATACGCTGTTGCTTGATGTGTGTGTTGTGTGTGTGTGTGAGAGAGAGAGATAGGGGGAGCCGAGAAGAGCTCCACCGTCGGCTGGCTGCTGGTGCTTCCGCCGCCACGCTCCGCATGAGGTTCATGGCTGAGGCCACAAGCCGCCAGCCGCCAGTTCGCTTCCAGTTCTCAGAGAAGAAGAGGTTGCAGAGAAGTGCGAGAAAGAAGAATGAAGAAAATGGGACATGCATGCAAGACCCATGCACGAGGTAGACGGATCGCATGATGGGTATCATAATAATATGATATTAAATTGTGGACTAAAAAAACAAAAGTTTATGCGTTGAATATGCTTGTGTTTGATCACATTATCCAAGGTATATCTTTAAATGCCAATAAAATGCGTGATATGGATTGATGATAATGGCATTTATGGAACCGGAAAATAAACGCTCATGAGTTGAATGTCCATACATTGGCAATAATCAGCCATCATTCCACCAAATCAAGTTTAAATACTGGTAGAACGTGTGATACCGATTGAATGATGTAGGATTCATTCCCTATTTTTAAATTTAATGGGAAATTAATAATTACGGAGCTGAGTATGCTTAAATATTTGACCAAGGATCATCTGACCAATAAAGTAAAATGTCGGCAAGATGGGGGATATGGGTTAGATGCTGTATGGTGGCGTGATGCCTTAATTTATCGTCAAGCGTAGGTAAGTTTACACTTTTAGTCAACTCATTCTGAATTCTATAGTTGATGAGTCAAACAAGATCATAGATTCAATCTCATTTTCCGAAGAATTATGGGTCTGAATGTTACAAGGATGTACGTTTAATTCCCTCGGTGATCAGTACGGGCGCTGACCGACGACGTTGCCATGGGGATAGTAGTTGCAGATGATGAAGCTGTCGCCACTGGCGCAGAAGACCTTGTCGCAGCCGACGTTCTTGGTCCACCTCCACAACAGCTGGGTGTAATGGGAGCAGTCGGCGGCGGGGTCGCAGACGTTGTTGGCATAGTCGTAGGAGGCCTCCTCCGCCGTCCAGGCTGCGACGGCGTCGGACGGCGTCCACAGCCTCCCCTGGCCCCAGAAGAGGTTCTCCCCGTAGTCGTTTGTGGAGTGCACCAGCGCGCAGTCGGCCCTCCTCTGCTCGGCGTACGCGCCGGCGACCATCGCCAGGGCGGCGCTCCACCGCAGGGGAGGCACGCCGTGCCGCACCCGCACGGCGTTCTGTGGCGAGAGGAACGCCGCCACCGTCTCCGGCGACGTTGCACCGCCCCCGGCGATGTGAGCAGCGACGTGGGAGATGAAACAGGCGACGATAAGGAACCTGATCGTCGTCCTGAGTAATGCTGCGTGGCCCATGATAGGAGATGGAAGAGCAGTGTGATCTCGAGAGATAGATAAATAGAGAGAGAGAAAGCGAGAGGTGGGGGTTCGTTTTTGTTTATCAACTGGTTCTTCAGTCTAGGGTTTATGTAGAGGGAGAAGATCGACGCGAGGAGGAAGAAGCCTCATTCTCATGCCTGCATGTGGAGCTCCCGACGGCGTGGCGCGAATGGGGGGAAGCGGGAGAAGTATGTGGACGTGGAACGTGCGCCTCCAATCACGTGCGAATCTTTCAAAGTTCGGTAGATCGTGGGGAGGAACGTTGGACGTCTCCGCCGCCAGTCGACGTGATGTCCACCGCCGATCCTCTCGGCAGCGGCGGCGGCGGTTGGCCTCCCACGTGTCCGTTAATCTGTCCTTGTCAGAGCTAACATTTTGACAAATGCCAAACCCTTGTTGACCATTTGAGGATGGTAAAGTTCAGCTATGTGACCTGGGAAGTGTACACGTGCTCCCATGTGTCCTCGCCATCGGGATTTCATCTTGCACGTCGGGCGGCTTGACTTTCAAATTTTAGAGCATTTTATTCTTGGAATGTTCTACACGGGTGTATACGATACCCACCCCAAATGATTGGATAGAGAGAGAGGCTCAATTTTCTTGACGAAGACAGACCGTTACCGTTCCTTCTAATCTTTACCCGACGCAATGTAATCGGGACACGGGGCTGCACTAAAATCAGCCACGATTATAACCAGGCTAGGTCACACTTCAGTGGTCTTCAACCCAAAGATTGAAGGTCATGTGGCTGTCTCCATGGTTTTACTTCAACTCTCTCTCTCTCTCTCTCGCCCTCTATGTTCTAGTCTGGGCTCTTACCCTTGAGAATCTAGGCTAGACCCTATACGACGAGTTATCTTCGGCTCGCCAGGGTGTTGATGCCCAATGGGGCTTGTTGTAGCTGAAGCTAGATGAGGGACCACTGATTTGGTTAATTTATGAATTTGATGATTGAATGTGCAACAAATGAATGCCTGATGGGTTTCACATCACCGAACCACCAAAAAGATGAAGGTTTTATGGGGTTAAGTTTACAAGAAATATCTAAATATACTGAAATAAATTAAATCATGTATAAAACTAGATGATATTTTTATCTCAAACCAAGATTTTTTTAAAGCCATCAGACCACCCAACTGAAAATCTATTGGTATTCATCATATCATGCATCGTATCCTCTTCGGCCCGAGACAACAATCTAATGGGCCCCAGGCACTTTTAAATAGATCAATGAGATAACGGAAAACTATTTTTTTGCGTTGACTAATGAGATTTGCATTTGAGGAAGACTGCAATGGTGCGAGTCCATAGAGAGAGAGAGAGAGAGAGAGAGAGAGGAGAGGCCAATTTTCTCAGAAATCAAGGGGACAAAGCGAAGACGATCACTTAAGGTAAAAAGAAGAAAGCAAGGGACGTCACAGGACCTCCATCTTCCACGGATGGATTTCCATTCATCGTCTCATCCCGACTGTTCGCTTGAAGCTTCCCCGGTCTCTCTTCCAATTCGGGGCAGCCGCGTTTGGTGGGTTTATCGGTATATGGATGGTCAACTCGACACTAGATTTGACTACCAGCTCCATATTCTTTTGTTTCCTTTGAACAAGCTTCCTAGCGTCAGCCCCCTGTAACCTATGCGCGTTGACATCCATGGGTTTTGTTCCCAGGTAAGATTTTCCACCCACGGAAGGACCTATCGGGAGAGGGAATTTCGTGGAAGGAAGGACTCGTTGTTGCGTTCTTGAGCAGTCAAGGGTTGGATGCATGGGCTGCTCCACCGTGGGGCGCCGCCTCACGTAGACCTTGTGTCGAGGGAATCGCTCTCTCTCTCTCTCTCTCTCTCGCTAAAAGTGCGTCAATCGAATGTTTCTTTAATGAAGAATTAGAGGTCAGAGCCGGGTCTGACGTGAACGCTGCTATAAATGATACTGACGGCGGTGGACTAATGGGTTCCAGCAGCCGGGTATTCAGTGTGGAATTTAGCCACGGGAGCGTCGCCGTCAGTATTAGTCACCCACCGTCCTCCTAGATCACGATTATCGTGGCCTTCTTGGAGCTCGGCGTCTTCCGTGAAGTTTCCAGCAGAGCGGGAGGAATTTGAGCTCTTTGGAAGAATTTTTTTTTCAGGGTTCTTGCCAAAGTTGTTGGTCTGAGCGTAGAGGGGTTTTCTACTGCTGCGATAGACTTGATCCCCACGGCACTGTTTCGTCTCTATCATCTCTCGCGAATTCCATTGGGTTATTCCACAAAAACGCCAAACGAGCCCACACACCAGCTCCCCGGCCTCCCAACCAGAGGCTATATAAAGGGCTCCCATCCCCCCCCTTCCAGTCTCCCTCCATAAACCTAAGCACCAGAAGCATCGTCCCAACACATCTCTCTCTCTCTCTCTCCCGCTCTTTCGCTCTAAAGCAAGTCTTTCCATCCTGATCTCCTATCTCGGTCCACATGGCTCCGAACGACAAGAAACTTTCATCCATGATCATCAGTGTCATCCTCGTCTTCCTCTTGTTCTCTGCGAATTCCACTCAAGCGAGGAAGCTCCTAGGTAGCCCAAGGGGAGACTTCAGCTCCTTGGAAGGCGCTAAGGTGTTCAGCGCACTGCTGAGGGCCTCCGTCCCTCCGTCGTCACCCAGTCATGGAGGCAACGTCGTCGTCGTCGGGGGGAGATTGCTCGCGGACCGCACCTCGTCGGTTGATCGGATGCTGGGATCGGTGCCGAGCCCGGGAGTCGGCCACTAGTGCTTTCTCCGGCTCCCTGTTGATGCTCTTCTCGTCTGCGTTTCTCCTCACGACCGTGACCCCACATTCTAGGACGACGGACATTTTTTTTCGTTTTTGTTACAATTTTTTCATTTAGTTCCTCAAGTGGGCATCATAAAAGAGAAGTATTCACATTTAATGTAGGATTATTTAGCACAGGAGATACGCGACTGTGTTCTTTACCATACGGTTTTTTCCGATTGTTCTTCTCATCTCTTTCCCTTCTTTATGGATTTCTTTCCAGAGAGAGCAGGCCTGATGGGTCGTCCTATATGTACAAATATTACATAAATCTACGAAAGAACAGAAGAATTATGCTCATCGATCAGGATTTGATAGCCTTGCCTGCTTCGCCCGCAGCAATTAGCATCGGAGTTGTTTAATCGGTATGGGCGCTCTACGAATGTCGTTCCCACGTTATTCTCCCCTCCGTTGCATTCGTCCTCAACGTTCTGGTTTGTTCGAGTTCAGAAAGAAGACTACATGCTAGTCAGATAAGAATTCATCCTTAATTAGGATCTGGACCTGGTTTGCGAAATCTGGACCTGGCTAGATCGCCGCGGATGATTCCGTCTTAGTCGTGATTTGGGAGAGATAGGAGGGTCTCAGACATTCCGAGTTGCTACCCGAACATCACGTCACCGGGAACGGCGGTCCACCGTCCCGAACTCGGACAGGAAGCAGGCACGTATGGGTAGCTCGACATGTCGGGCCAGGGCATTGTCTCCGTCAATCAGATCACGCCCCAACGAATCACCGTAAGCGGCGCGCCCATGCGTTCCAACGTGGGTGACAATGGCCGGACGAGACTTTAGCAGACAGTCGTCCACTTCCCTGCATCGAAGGGAACCGGAAGCCTGTCTTAGGTCGACTCGCACGCCGCCGCTGTCACCGTTTCAGTTTCCCTTTGTTTCGGACCATCATTCTTCTACACAGGGTCAGGCCGTGATTGTTTAGTTGACTTCTTCGATGAGGATACTCACTCCCCATTGAAATGCTCAGCGTTGTTTATCTGCGGCAGCGAAGGTCAAAGTTCCAAACCTCGCACTTCTGGCTGTCCATCTGTCTCTCTCTCTCTCTCTCTCTCCACCGCCCGCCCCGGCACGTAACCCTGTTGATCGGTTTAGCAGAAGTCAGTCTTCAACCACTCTCTCTGTCGGACGTAACATTCCTGGCCGGTTTAGTAGAAGTCAACCCCCTCGCTCTGTGATTAACTTAAATTGTTTACAAGATTACAGAAGAAGTCAAGGTTTTTAACCACACGCTTCCCATTCGAGAGGGTTGTTTTGCCCACCGTCAAACAAACAACCCTCTCTCTCTCTCTCTCTCTCTCTCTCTCTCTCTCTCTCTCTCTCTCTCTCTCTCTATCTCTATGTGTAAATCTCCCTTCCGGTCCCTAATCTTTCCTCCCAGATTAGGTAAACTAGATCCTCCGATGGGGCATTAAATAAGGCTTCAAGATCATGACTGTAGATATGTTTATCAAGCATAAAGTGGTGCTTAAATAACTTCGTGCGATGAAGTTACGTGCCCTATAAGTCTCTTGCAAGTAGTCGATGGAGCAGAAACTCTCTTCTCTCCTGTTGGCGGGCCATCCACCCAAATGAGCTACAGAAAGATAATGCTATACGCCCATTGATGAAGCATGCTAGTGGGTGAAGACATTGATTGAAGGGCTTCCATTTCAAAATAAAATTTATCGTTTTCAACTCGACCCTGTGAAAAGTGAAGCAAGCTGGCGGTGGACGTCGAACTCCGCAAGAACGAAGGCGTGCTTGGGTCGCCGGAGTGTAGACGTCCAACCCGCCGACACACGCCCCTCAACGCGCGGCCGGAAGACACGGGGGTGAGGGGCCTGCCCTACCGGCGGGGGTTTGACGATGCGATGTCGCCCCAAGTTGGAGGTTCTGAGAGTCGACGAGGTCCCGTTCTTGTCCCGCCCACCACAGCCAAGGGCCCCAGCGCTCCAAGACCGGTTCCCCTCGGGGCCTACAAGATAGACGCCACAACCCGACGTGCCGACGGTCTCCACCGCCCATTCCTTCTCCGATTCAGACCGATCATTCGGCTACCGAGCCGGCGAGTCAGAGACGCGGTCTGGTGGTCCTCGCCGGAGGGCGGACATACGGGTCGTGGAGAATATATGAGGGCTTTCGTCATGCCCTCCCCCCCCCCCCGCTTCAGCTCCCAGGTGTTGAAGCGCAGTCTTTAAAACCCTTTCCAGGTACAGTGACTTCTTCTCGCTGAAAGTGCCCACCGACTGGCGGACGGCGGAGTAAGTCGCTGGTTCGTTCGGAGAACAACTCGCTCCCGTGTCGCACTCGTAGACTTTGACTTTAGAGGTGCCTTCGCGATAAGGAGAAGATCTTGGTTCCGTCAGTTGACTTCCCGTTGGGGGTCTTCGTTAAGGGATGGAAACCAATGGATCGAGAGGCATACGGGCTGGGCTTTCTTGTCGCAAAAGACCCAAGACGACTTAATATGTTTGACATCTAACCTCGCATCGATATGTTGAACAGCTTATTCACCTACGGTATGAACATGACAGCCAAAGGCTGTTCTTGATCGAAATATGACCCGGAATTGTTCCCGCTCCAGTGATGGGACGGAGCGTGGGAAGAATTCAATGGGATTTTGGGAGGGAGACGAAGCCATGTGGACGGTTCGAGCGAGTGATCCGAACCCTTAAAACTATGGTACTTCGATCGGTTCATGTGAATATTTTAGTTCGCCACCTTTAGTTTTCCGTGAAGACGAGGTTCTTCCTGGTCGGTTCAGCCGTTCAATGAGCTTTGTCGGTGCCCTCAAAGCTGTCCTCTTCTAGACAGAAATCGCCCGTTGAAAAAAATTACATGAGATCACGTGATCATATAGATAATACTACTTCATTCCCTGCCAGCTAATGATGCGAATACGACTCGAAGGAATAACGGCCTTACATATCATACATGATGTTAAGTATGAGAGGGTATGCTGATTTTATTTTCACCCTTCGACAATTCCATTAAACCAAGTTGACATTTTGCAAACAAGTCAACCCCCTCAGAGAGCCCATTTAATCGCGTGCTTGCTGAGTTTTTAATTGGCAAACCCACGTGGTAATATTAACTCCGTAGACCTTGACCTGAGCTAGAAGGAGAAGGCACCTCTCTAGGAGTCTTAGACAAGAAGAGAGAGATGAACTAATAAAAGGGTACCAGATGATCCAAAGCCCGCCTCCTCTTCTTTCCCCGCATGGTAATTTCTGCTAAGTTCTTGGGGCAGCGTTGCCTCCCTGGCTCGGGCCCGAAGGAGGCACGCGCCGCCCTCTTGCCTTCACATAATAGACGTCTTTCGTCTCATGCAAACTAGCCGCCGGCAGAACCCCGGCCGCGGTCGCTCCACTGGCGGCGACGAGCTCGGCGGCGGGGCTCTTCCTCGCCAAGGTGAAGTCAGCGGCAGTTAAGACAAGAACAAACGTTACCCAGAGACGAAGAGCCATAGAGGAATGGGCAGACGTTTTCTAGAGGGCGATGGGAGATATGGAGGTGGGCTTCGGTTCTCAGTCTTCCTCCAAGTAGGTGCTTAAGAAGACCTCCTCGTAGCTAAGCATGTAGGGCTCACTATTATATTTAATACGAGATTTGTCCTCCTCCGGCATCATCCCCGTCATGCGGAGATCGCCCGCCGGAAGAACGCGGCAAAGTTGAGGACTTTGTGGAGCTTCGAGGAAGGACGACACCGTGGGTTTTATTATGTAAGGCCACGTCGGGTGGGGGGGGGGGGGGGGAGAATGACGGAGGCTTCCTCGCCGCCGACAGAGATTCTCCAAAACGAGGGTTATCGAAGCAAAGCTTAGCCAACGATGCGGCGGTGGGCCCACCCTCTTAAAGGTCAAACTCTGTCAGGTTGGCGCCATGTGAGAAGATCTCGTGGAGGAGACGATGGCCCACCTAATCAATCCCTCACATGAGTCGGAGATTCCCTTATGCACGCGAGTCAAATGTACCCTGGTCTCGCCAGTCAAACGTGGGAGCCTCCCTCAAGCGTGTGGACACCCACCCTCGCGCCGCATTCACACGTACCTCGATCCTTCCGATCTCAGGAAGAAAGCCCAAAGATGAGATCAACAGAGCCGGCGGCAAGGAGCATCCGATGCGATCGAGGATCGCCGGCAAGCCGAAAGGGAACTGCCGCCGTGGATCCTATTTGGCAGATGGGTTCGGATAAGAGTTGCCCGTGTCGAAGATGATCGACGTGGCTCCTACTTGTCAAAGCACAGGATAGCGAGCGACCGAGCGAGAGAGAGAGGATTTCGGGATCCTAGATTTATTTTGTTCTTATTTTCTAAATTAAAATATCCAGTGCCACGAGTACGATGAGATGGCGAGGTCGGGTAAAAAATTATGTGCTTTAATTGTTCTATTCCGCTCTAAGTTTCTTTCTATATATCAAAATTGGCGTTAATATTTTGTCGGTGAGGACAAGGCAGCTGGCTACCTCGAAGGGCGCGCTCTGACATGGACAGCGAAGCCAAACCTCGCCACTGATTGGTCCTCGCCCGCGGTCGGATCCGGTTTTCTTGTTCAAAGCGTGGACCCACCCATTCCCTCCCCCCAAAATTCTAGGAGACCATAGGGGACCTCCACGCTGCCGTACGTGGCCGCTGGAAGGCACGCCACGCTTCCCTATCCACGGCGGCACGACCACCGCGAGTGGCGGAGCTGGAGCCCCCCCGGGCCACCCCGCCGGTTGTCCCTCTCGCCGGATCTCCCCCGTTAACCTAATCCTGCGCCGCCAGCTGCCTCTGCTCCCCATTTCGCTTCCCTTTCGAAAGCTCTGCGACATCATTCCACTTCGCTTCTCGACTTTCCGTTTTCAGACACTCTCAGATGATCGATTCCGAGACGAAGTCACAATGCGCCTCTTCTTCTTCTTCTTCTTCTTCTTATTCGGTAGTTTGATTCGGTTCTTCGATCGGTTCTTCCCTCTTCGTCGCGAGATTTGATCTCGTTCTCCTCGAGCTGTTCTCTAATCCTTGTTAAGATTGATTCCTTCAAAGTTCGGAGAGATGATGTCCAGATCGTATACAAACCTGCTGGATCTGGCGTCGGGAAACTTCCCGGCGGCGGGCGGCGGCGGGCGGCGCCGGCTGCCGCGGGTCATGACGGTACCGGCGATCGTCTCTGAGCTCGACGACGAGCAGGCCAACAGCGTCTCCTCCGACGCCGCCTCGTCCTCCTCAGCCGGCACCGACCGCATGATCATCGTCGCCAACCAGCTCCCCGTCGACGCCGAGCGCCGCCGAGACGGCGGCGGCTGGAGCTTCTCCTGGGATGAGGAGTCCCTCCTGCTCCAGCTCAAGGACGGGCTACCGGAGGACACGACGGTCATCTACGTCGGCTCTCTGCGCGTCGCAGTCGACCCCGGGGAGCAGGAGAGCGTCTCCCAGGCCCTGCTCGAAGGCTTCAGGTGCGTCCCCACCTTCCTCCCCGACGCCATCTTCAGCAAGTTCTACCACGGCTTCTGTAAGCAGCAGCTATGGCCACTCTTTCACTACATGCTCCCCGTGGCTGCCGCCCGCGGCGGCCGCTTCGACCGCTCCCTCTGGGAGGCCTACCTCGCCGCCAACAAGATCTACTCCCAGAAGGTGATCGAGGTGATCAACCCAGAGGAGGACTACGTCTGGGTCCACGACTACCACCTGATGGCGGTGCCCACCTTCCTCCGCCGGCGCTTCAATCGCCTGCGCATGGGCTTCTTCCTCCACAGCCCCTTCCCCTCGTCGGAGATCTACCGGGCCCTCCCCGTGCGGGAGGAGATCCTCAAGGCACTGCTGAACTCGGACCTCATCGGGTTCCACACCTTTGACTACGCCCGTCATTTCCTCTCCTGCTGTAGCCGCCTGCTCGGGCTGGAGTACCAGTCCAGAAGGGGATACATCGGCCTGGAGTACTTCGGGAGGACGGTGGGGATAAAGATCATGCCCGTCGGTGTCCACATCGGGAAGCTCGAGTCCGCGCTGAAACTCACCGGGGACGAGCGGGGGGTGGAGGAGCTCCGCCGTGAGTTCGAAGGGAGGACGGTGCTCCTCGGCGTGGACGATCTGGACGTCTTCAAGGGGATAAACTTGAAGCTCATGGCGTTCGAGCAGCTGCTGAAGACCCACCATGGCTGGCGGGGAAGGGCCGTGCTCGTGCAGATCGCGAACCCCGCCAGAGGGAGAGGGCGAGAGCTCGAGGGTATCCAGGGGGAGATCGCACAGACGTGCCGGAGGATCAACGAAGCTTTCGGCGGGGAAGGTTACAGACCCGTCGTGTACATCGACCGCCATGTCTCCCTCGTGGAGAGGCTCGCCTTCTACACCATCGCCGAGTGCCTGATCGTCACGGCAGTGAGGGACGGGATGAACCTCACGCCGTACGAGTACATCGTCTGCCGGCAAGGGGTCGCCGGCGAGGGTAGGAAGAAGAGTATGCTGGTGGTGTCGGAGTTCATCGGCTGCTCGCCTTCTCTGAGCGGGGCGATCCGGATCAACCCCTGGTGCGTGGAGTCCACTGCAGACGCCATGAGGGAGGTGATCGCCATGAGCGACGCGGAGAAGCAGCTCAGGCACGAGAATCACTACAGATATGTCAGCACCCACGACGTGGCCTACTGGTCGAGAAGCTTCCTGCAGGACCTGGAGAGGAGTTGCAGAGACCACTTCAAGAAGAAGTGCTGGGGGATCGGCCTGGGCTTCGGGTTCAGGGTGGTGGCGCTGGACCCGAGCTTCAGGAAGCTCGACATAGCCGGCCTGGTGTCGGCCTACAGGAGGACGAGGAACAGGGCCATCTTGTTGGACTACGACGGGACCGTGATGCCGCAGGCCACCATCAACAAGACGCCGGGGAAGGAGGTCACCTCCATCATGAACGAGCTATCTGGAGATGAGAACAACGTCGTCTTCATCGTGAGCGGGAGGGGCACAGAGAGCCTGGGTGAATGGTTCTCTCCTTGTCCGAAGCTGGGGATTGCGGCGGAGCATGGCTACTTCATGAGGTAGAGCTCTACCTTCTCCCTCGTTTAGCTCGGAGCATCGATGCTCATGTCGCCGCGTTGACCTAGTTTCACTTATCTCACGGCAGATCAGCACATTATATACTTATGGGCTTCTGAATTTCTTCCGAGTTCATCCTGCTCGAATCACGGCTACCATAAACCTTCAAGCTTGGCATTTACAGGCGGAGCAGAGACGAAGGATGGGAAACCCAGGGGCAGATTACGGACTCTGGTTGGATTAGGATTGCGGAACCAGTGCTGAAGCTGTACACCGAAGCGACAGATGGCTCCTCAATCGAGACGAAGGTGTGCGGTCTGGTGTGGCACCACCGGGACGCAGATCCCAACTTCGGATCATCTCAGGCGAAGGAGCTGCAAGGTCATCTGGAGAGCGTTCTCGCCAACGAATCCGTGGAAGTCAAGCGAGGCCAGTTCATCGTCGAAGTGAAGCCCCAGGTGTGCCCCCAATCCCCCTAAACCTCTGAAAACTAAACCATGGGAGATACGCCCGAGTAGACCAGGCTCCTTTCTTTCCTTCTTTCTTCTGAAACATTGAATGATGTGATTCTGGGTTGCAGGGTATCAGCAAAGGCCTGGCGGCGGAGAAGATCCTGTCGTCGATGAGAGGCGGCGGCAGGCAGGCCGACTTTGTGTTGTGCATCGGCGACGATCGGTCCGACGAGGAGATGTTCCAGAGCATCGATTCGATAACCGCCGGTGCGGTCTCCTCAGGCGGAACCATCTTCGCCTGCACCGTCGGGCAGAAGCCGAGCAAGGCCAAGTACTACTTGGACGACACAACCGAGGTCCTGGCATTGCTCAGAGCTCTAGCCGAAGCCTCCGGCAATCCGCCGTCTTCCTCTCTCCCGGATGACGAGGCCTCATCCTCCTCCCCCGCCGGAGAGCTAGCTGATTCAGATCTCGAAAACCGCCGCCGCTGAAGAATGGCTTCTCGGAGAGCAGGAAGACTTTCACGAGTGCCGAACAGCGGCGGAGGAAGGAAGAAGACCATCCATTTGCCGCTCGGGAAGGGGAACGCCTTCCGGCGGCTGGGTTGCAGTAGTAGATGGAGGATGGATGGATATTACGATTAGGGCGATTGATGATGACGACAGGATTTTGTATTTAACCCCTTCTTTGCCAATTATTTGCCTCGGATACCGACGTGGGGCCTCTCCAATAAACTGGGGCCCGCTAGAAGGCTTTTTATTATCGCCCGCAAAATATTATCCCATTATTAGCAAACTTTAGAGAGAGAGAGAGCGAGAGAGCGGTCAACAGAGAGGGCGAGAGAGAGAGAGACGCCTCCTCTCGGCCCGTTGGCTAAACGAACAAAATATACATCGAAGACTGTCCCGGCAGTCCAATTTAACTAAACGGTGGAGACGAAGAAAAGCAAAATAGAAACCGTTCCCTATCTCACACACCGCTGCGCCGCCGCTCCGCCGGCGCCGCCAAGTAAACCTTGCAGTGGTAGATCGTCTTCCTCAGCCTGAACCCCGGGGCCACCGTAAACCCAACAGCAGCACCGCCAGCGTCCTCCTCCGGCTCCACCACGCTCTCCATGAAGACCTCTGAGAACCGGCAGCCCCTCCTCGCCTGGAAAATAGATGCCTCCTCCTTAGGCCCGAAGGAGAAGAAGAGTCGGTGCAGGAGCCACACCCTCCTCGCCATCTCCGCGAAGCCCTGGTAGAACTCCGTCTCCGGGAAGCCCTCGCCGGAGCTCACCACGGCTCTCGCATTGCCGCCGCCGGAGAAGGACTCGTCCATTGCCGGATGCACCATGATGAGATACTTGGCCCGGCAGAATCTGGCGAACTCCGGTTCTTTGAGGGCTTGCCCCAGACTGGCGGACCTCAATGATACGAATTCGTCGAAGAACGCTCGCCGATCGCCGCCGCCGAGGCCGAAGTCGCCGTCCTTGAAGCCAGAGAAGATGGTGGCGCAGACGTAGGACTCAAACGCGAACGCTCGGTGCTCCCGCTTCCCCCACTGGACCTCCCCCTGAAACGAAACGGCGGCGGCGGCGGCGGCATCGAGGTCCCACCCGGCGAGCTCCATCCGCCGCACAATCTGCCCGGCGAATGATCGGACCGATCTGCGAGCCTCCTGAAGGGCCGCCAGGAAGTGTGATGGGTTGAGAGACGACGGCCTGAGGCCACTCAGCACCTGCAGAGGTCGCCGCAAAGCCGACGAGGCTTGCTCCGCATCCAGAGCCTGTTTCTTCAGGAGGACCTCGGCGTCCTTGTGCAGAAGCTCGGCCTCCAGCTTCTTGACGGTAATCTGGAAGGTCTTGACGAGGTTCTTCTGCTCCTGCAGCTCCGCCAGCAGCTGGGAATCTCGGTCGGAGTGTCCACAGCCGGCAACGGTGCCGGCGTCGATCTGCTTGAAGTAGGAGTGCTTAAGCTGGGAGAGCTGCTTCAGCTCCGCCACCACGACCTGGTCGGCGGACTGGATGGTGTCCGGGTCGTAGGGCGACTGGGCGACCTGAAGCTGGGCGTAGGAGGCCTTGATGGCGGCGATACCGGCGAAGAGCTCGGCGAGGAGAGTTTCCATCACCTCCCTGTTCTGCTGCCGCTGCTCCTGAAGCGGCGGCTGCTTCTTCTTCTTCTCGTCCTCATCAGGGAAACCTGGGTGGGATGATGAGAGAGAGGCCCCATTGAAGCCCTCCGCGAACTTCGGCTTCCCGACGCTCACTTCATCTGTAACCACGCCGGCTCCTCTCTCCTTGCCGCCGCGGCGGTATCGTACGATTCTGCTCACGGCCCGGAGGAAGCCACCGACGCTGGAGCGCTCAGGCCTGACAGTCTCCATCCTCTCTCTCTCTCTCTCTGCAGAGAACGCCAAGCAGTTAGTTATCAGTGGAAAACGTGGAAACAAGGTAAAAGAACCGTAAGAGATAGGCAGAGAGAGAAAGAAGAATCGCCGGCATTATTAGCACCTGATGAGCAGAGATTTGTTTCTTTAAGAACAGAATCTGTCCTTTCAAGCCACCACCACCCCGGACTCCATTGATTACTAGAGAGATGAAAGCCCAGAACACGCGTGGAGTGACTAGTTTATGCTTCATTCTGCTCCTCAAAAACGTGGGTTTTCATCGGATTCGATTTTGAAAGATGCATTCTTTTCTCCCCCACCCGCCGACCGGGGCCCGACGGGATCTCCCTCCTCTTCTGAGCTCTGTTCAAGGAAGAAGAGAAGAGGCGAAGGGCCCACGAACCCCGACTATGGTTCTGCTCCGGCGACGGCGACAGCGCCGACGACGAAGCGACTGTGAATAAGGACCTTCGTGGGTCCCCCCTGACAGACGTACGATTGGTGTCACGAGACCACCCTCGTTGATTCCTGCATTAAACAGGAGCCAGCACGGATCTGAGTGGACGACCGCGTCGCCTTCAAGAACAAAACGGTGGGTTTCTTTCTAGAAACCCCTCAATCTACACCCCCCCCCTTCCTTCCTCTTCCGGCTGCTGGGGTTAATGGCGACCCCTGGTATCCCTCCCTCACGAGGACGAGGTTTGAGCAGGGAGGACCCACTTCTCCCCTGTTCCTGCTCAGAGACGGCCATTGGGAGCGACATGGCGTAGATCCACCTGCTCTCTGCAACCTCCATGGTCACATGCTCCGCCCCAGCTGTTAGGGTTGAAGGGGAAGGACCCAGAAAGAAAGATGGGGAGATGGGAGATGGGGAAGATCAAACAATGGCCGAGAGGGATGAAGAAGCCTTCTCAAGGAGAAAGAATCTCCTGCTCGAGGATACTGAAAATGGAGGTTGATTTGACCACGGAGTGGCGATGGAGAGCGGGGAACGGAAGCGTTTGGAGGATTACTTACCAGTTCTGGGATGAGATAAAGGAGGTTATGCCTCTGGTTCTCTGAGTTCCCTCCCTTCCGGCGAAGCTATCTTTGCTAGCATCTGGAAGCTCTTCTGCATCGGGAGGCTATGCACGCTCCAAGCTCGAGAAATACCCTCGCAATGGGCTTCCCCGTTCCCTATTTCTCCCTACAACGCCGACGAGGTCATCAATGGCGGAGAGGAGGAATCACCGATTCCATTGATCCCGCGTCCGCCCCCCAGGCTGACGCAGAAAGATGTGAGACTGCAGAAAGCAAAAGAGGAAAGAGGAAACGCAGAGCGAGAGAGAGAGAGACCACACGTACAGCATAACCTTGCCGTGTCACACGGTGGGCGAGGGAAGAAGGGGGCGCTGCACTGCCTTTCAGGGAAAGTAGCTGTTGCAGAGAGAGCGGGGTAATAGAGAGAGAGAGAGAGAAGGAGAAGGGCGGGAAAGAAGACAAGAGGAGGGGCATCGGGAACAAAAACCCCTACCCTTCTGCGTCTCCTGTCGCGTTCTTACCCTCTTTCCTAGCGCCGGACGAGTTTCCCTCTCCACCCCCGCCGAAACCCACATTTTCATGTCCGACCAGTAGAGAGAGAAAGAGGTGAGAGACGGCTCCCCGCCCCACCATGCCGGGGTCATTTGGTCAATCGACTGCACCATCACCTACCCTTCGTCCCTATTTAGTCTCTCCAGCTGGAGGCCACCTTAATCCCAACCCCCATCACCGTGTGAACCTCGCCGGCGAAGACGGACCAGAGGGAAGAGATAGAAAGACGAAGAGAGGCCTGCGGCCAGAAGCTGCAGTACCCATTCAAAAGGCGAGCCAATCTGTCCCCATTCGCTCATCTCTGGGTAGAAAGAGAAAGAGAGAGACGTTGGGAGGGACTTTTCAACTCCCTCCTCCAACGGACCATCGAACAGTGTGAGACACTGCTCTGAGTAGCATCCTCTACGTCCCTGTAGAAGGGCTACCTCGTAATGGCAGCCCCGCTCCCGCGGCCGCCCTCTACTGCCCTCGTGCCTCCGTACCGCTCGGTGGCATTGCCGTCGGCGGCTTGAGCGTCCGCTGGATTGCGCATGGATAGAGCGGCGGAACGGAGCACTGGAATAGAGTAATACGCCGCCGCTGCCGCCGGAAGCAGGGGAAGAAAGGAGAGGAAGGTAGAGAGATAGAGAGAGAGAAAGAGGACATGAAGAGGTCTCTCCTTTTGCTTGTTCTTCTCTTCGCGTCCTTCTTCAGACCTCAGCAGGTGGGAGCTTCTCCGACGGGTAAGAAATGACCCACCTTCCTCCCTCTGCAGTTCTCTTCTCTTCGCCTCAGCTAATGGCGACATTCCTCCTCACTCTCTCTCTCTCTCTCTCTCTCTCTCTCGCTGTTGTGCTCAGCAGCACTGGCCAGACGACTGTCCTCCCTCCTGAGGTGGACGCCGAGGGCTTCCCTCAAGACACCCCTGAGCGGTGAGTTCCTTCTCGTTCTCGCAGCCGGAGCTTCCATCATCTCCATTCCTTTCCTCTCCCCTGCTGTTGATCAGGCTCCATTTTCCTGTGACCTAAATATTGCAGAAGATGTGCTCCAGTTTGAGAGCGGGTACCTGGTGGAGACCATAGTGGAGGGAAACAAGCTCGGGGTGACGCCTCACACCGTCCGAGTCTCGCCGGAGGGGGAGCTCATAGCCGTGGATTCCGTTAACAGCAATATCGTCCGCATAACCCCACCTCTCTCTGCATGTGCGTCTGAACTTCCCCAAAATTCTTCTAAACCCTAGTTGACTGCTGGGATAAATCCTAGTTGACTTTCCAGATAGCAGGGCGAGACTGGTTGCCGGCTCATTCCAAGGCTACTCTGGGCACGTCGACGGGAAGCCCAGCGATGCCCGGTTCAATCACCCGAAGGGCGTCACCATGGACGGGAAGGGGAACATCTATGTGGCGGACACCTCGAACATGGCCATCCGCAAGATCGGAGAATCAGGTGATTCTCCGGCTCTGATGGGACACAGAGCTGCGCAAGCTTCCTGCTGACCAATCCTCCCCTGCGGAAATAAGCAGCTGACTCAGAGCTTCTTGTCCAGGGGTGACCACCATCGCCGGGGGAAAGTCAAACGCCGCAGGTTACAGAGACGGCCCAAGTGAGGATGCTAGATTCTCCAGCGACTTCGACGTCGTATACGTAGGAAGCATCTGCTCCTTGCTGGTCGTGGACAGAGGCAACGCCGCTCTTCGTCAAATCTTTCTCCAAGACAATGACTGCGCTTACCAGTACTCCGCAGTTTCTTCCTCAGGTTCGAACCAGCTGCATTCTTAGTGTATTTCTCTCGCGGATCAACCGCTAAGTCAACTCCTCTTTTGGAGCTCCCTGGTTCTCACCAGGATCATGACATCTAATGATGATGTACTCAAATGTTTCGTGATGGTCAACTCGGTGAGTCTTCCTATTTGCAGACATTATACTGGTCGTCGGTGCTGTGCTGGTGGGCTACGTCTCCTGCTTAATTCAGCTCGGATTTGGAGCTTCCCTCCTCGCCAAGAAGGTACAAGACGTGCTTGTAGTATCTCACAAATATCTAGGAAAGTGGACATTAGTCAACGCAATAAATATCAAATAATTCCGAGCTGCGTCAACATGCAGAGGCCGATTTTTGGAGGTCAACCATCTCCGGTTGCAGAGAAACTGAGAGACAAACAGGACGCTCCATGGCCATCTTGCCGAAGAATTCTCCCAGATTTATATAGATTGTGCGCAGAAATGTTTTCCCAAGCGAGTGTCAGATTCTCCCTACACGATCTGATACCCGGAAAGTCAAAGATGCTGAGGGGGATGCCGGAGGAAAGAAGGGGGCGAACGCCGGTCCTGAAGCAGAAGAGCTCCGCCGCTGCCGCCGCCGGCGAGGCTCTCCAGGCCGCCCATCTGAAGCAGCAGAAGAACCTCAAGTCGTCGCTGCAGAGGGATTCTTTGACCCCCATCAAGCACAGGAAAAGACAGGAGTTTACAGAGTTTTATGGGTTGGCGGCCCGGCACCACGAGACCAGAGGTTCAGAGGTCAACTCCAGGCCCGCCGAGGTCAACTCCGTGGATCGGAAGCTTGAACACTTCAACGCTAGGAGCAAGTACGCCGGCCTAGACAGCCGGCATCAGTCAAGGTCTGCCCAACGGGTAGATTAGAATTGTGACTTTGAAACTCCAGCAGCGTTTTGGTCCTCGTTCGCGGCCGTTGACTTCTCTTGCTCGCATTGGCTCTGCTACGCGCGGTTGTGATTATACGCATAGCCAGTTTTATTTTAATAATATTTCTTTATATCCAGTGAGTTTATTTCGCTTACAGCAGATTAACTCTCTAATACGGCGGTCAAATTAGCGGGTTCCATTCCAAAAATATTTAACATTAACCAAAGTAACAATAATAATAATAATAATAATGTAGAAAAATCGATAGGCAAGGCTGTCGGTGGCCTGCAGTGAAGTCAACGAACCACAGTGTTGACCCACCCTGAGTGGTGGGGCCCACCGGGAGCGAATCTCGCGACTATTGATAGGTACCTTCAACATGTGCAGGTCTTCTGAGGAAGGCCCTATTCTGACCGGTCAAAACACCGGGGGGGAAAAAGGGGGGGGGGGGGAGGGAGGGGAAGGTCTCTGTCGTCACCGTACGGACGCCTCCGGCAAGTCGTATGTACGACGAGGCGGACCGAGGAGCCGCCGGCGGTGGGTCCGTTGACTAGGGGATACCGCGGGTCGTCCTCCGATCGAGACGACGAGTCACCGGAGTGGCCATCCAGCCCCCGGGGATCCTCCATCGCAGGAATCCGATGCGCATGCAGCGGAGCGGGCTATTATTGTATCGATCTGTGGCGTCTCCGTCATCGGGGCGCGAGATCGCTCGCGTGATAGCGACGGCGGCGATGATGGTGTTCGGGTATGGCTGGTGCCTCGGGGAAGCTTCAAAAATCGAGTAATGGGAGAGGTCAGTCTCAACCGCGCTGCCGAATCCACCTCGCCGTTGATTTCTTACTTCGATATTCCAACCGCTGTTCTCCACCACTCGGCTCTCTGGTTCGATTCCTTGTTGCTGGTCAAGGTTAGTCTCAAGCTTTCAGATGCAGTAGGGTTTACCTCAGTTTCACCTTTTGCGTTTGTTTGGACGTGCTTGTTTCACGGTGCAGAGCTAAAGTGGTAAATCGGACGAAAATTCTACTCGCACAGCTTACTGTTAGTTAGTACGACAGCCGGCAAGCGGTCAGGCACATATGTGTCGCAGTCCCTCCCCTTTGAACGGGCGCTATCCCTCTCTCTCTCTCTCTCTCTCTCTCTCTCTCTCTCTCTCTTCTCTGTCTGTCTCTCTCTGTGCTTTCGCTGTTATCTGTCTGGGTATGTTTATCTCTGAAATCCATAACACGAAGTCGATTGATGTGATGCGCTCGAGATAGGAAGGGCAGCGTCACCCCGGGGAAGGAGCGGAGCTGAAGAGGTAGATCGAGAGGAGTTCTTGTTCCGTGGTTAGTTATTCTCTCTGCCTCTCTCGGCGGTAGGCGACCATCGCCGTTCTGATTTTCCGAGTATCTGCAGCATTTCAGTCTACGGGCTAAGGTTTGCTTTTTTATGCTTAAAATGGGCAAGAATTTGTTGGGTTTTTGGATCTGAGCTAATGGGTTCGAGAGAAGTGCCTCGTTTGCCTTCCGAGGAAAATTTTGATCTGTAATGTTTCGTCGAAACGGGTTCTTGAAACTAGTACTGCTACTTTCTTTCTTGCTGTAATGCGGAGATCCCGCCTCCCAATGACAGGAAGAACGAGAAGTATCCAACCTGGGCTTCGTCTTCTTCGTGGAGAGCTTATTTCTGCGACAAATCCGGAGCATTCTTGACGCGATTTTTCAGATTGGCATGGGAAGAGTGAGCAGTTAGTTTGAATGGAGTAAGTAGTTCAAATCCTGTTATGCTCCTCCTCAGCAGGCAATCATCACGGAGTCATGGCCTCGAAAGAAGCTTGATTCGTCCATATGGTGCTCCTGTTACACTGATTATTTTCCTCGTTGTTTGCCAATCAGTTTCTGACGATGACCAGGCCCATTCGTAATGAAATTCTCAAGGAAGACAATGGCACTATCAGCGACCACCTCCGCAATCATCTTCATCTTACAAACTGTATCCACGTGAAGAACCACATTCACCGTCTCAGCCCCAACATGGCTGAACGGTCCCTTTTAAGGGACCTGATTATGCTTCAGAGATCAAGGTCCCTCAGAGACCCGTCTACAAGCCCTGCATCATGGCACTCTCCACCAGTAGCCGATTCTTTTGCTCGGAGATCAGAGAAGGAGGGCGGCCTGCACAGTGGAAGGAGGTCCTTGGGTGTTGAGCGGTGGAAGGAAAGGGGACGATTGTCTGTTAGTTCACCAAAGATTCCCATTACGGCTACATCAAAGGTTGTTGCTGCAGAGACTATCAGTGATAATAGGAGCGTAGACAGGTGTAGATATTCTGGCACAAATGGGGGAGAAGAATCTGGTAGGAAAAATCACAGACGTAATCTATCAGGTATCAATGAGAAGCCCCAAGATTTTCCGGTTTCTGGGAAGACAGATCTGGAAGTTAAGAAGATCTTGAAGAAGGGTACCGTGAGGAACAGTGCTCAAGTGAAGACACTGTCGGAGCAATTAGCAGAAACTACTAACCAAACAGATTCCGAAGATCTGAAGCCTCCTTGCATTCATCGTTGCACACCACAATCAGGACAAACAGGTTCCTTTAAGGAGCCAGAGGTAGATGGACATGTTCAACGCCGTGGGTTGGGAAAGCCAAAGGAACGCAACTTTAAAGGTACGAGGAGGGTTCATGAATATATCGGTTCAAGAGAGGCAAGGGTCCTTGATGACTTGTCTCACGCATCAAACTCATTAACCCAGGGTTCAATGGATTCAAAATGCAATTCAAGAGGATCGGAAGTAAATGTTAATATTGATGTAACTCGGGCTCCTAAACATGTTTGTGGAATACCCTGGAATTGGTCAAGAATTCATAACAGGGGTAGAACAATTATTGATATAGCGGGAAGAAGTTTATCTTGTGGGTTGACCGAGTCAAGGTTGAGGAGAAATGAAGGTGCTATGCGTCCACAAGCTGAAAGAGATGCTTTCAATATGGAGGCTTCATCTGATCACTTGAGCTCCTCCGCAGGTTCTGACTCTGAGTCACTGCCATTACTGGTTGAGCCTTCAAGATCTCAGAGAGGCACTGAAAATTCGTTCTTGTCAAATGACTATTCTGGAGAACTATGTATCTATGCCAATCATGATCTAAACCGTGGGAGAAATTCTGACATCGGATCTGAAGCAAGATCAGGCACTCATCACAACTCTAACAGACATTACCATGGTCGGCATCAAAGTTTGACACAGAAGTACGCCCCAAAAAATTTCAGGGATTTGGTAGGGCAAAACTTGGTCGTTCAAGCTCTTTCGAATGCTGTTGTAAGAGGAAAAGTTGGGTTAGTTTATGTATTCTATGGCCCTCATGGGACTGGTAAAACGTCTTGTGCACGGATATTTGCGAGGGCCATCAATTGCAAAGCACAGGAACATCCCAAGCCATGTGGCACTTGCATTTCATGTATCTCTCATAATCTTGGTAAAAGTCAAGATATTATGGAATTGGGTTCCATAGGCAAGTTCGAACTGGAAGGGATTTTTGGCCATCTTGAGAAAACAAAGATGCAGCCTTCGTCATCTTCTAAATATAGGGTGTTCATTGTTGATGATTGTGATACATTATCTGCTGATTCTTGGAATGCCATATCGAAGGTCATTGATCTAGCTCCCAGATGTGTGGTTTTTCTTCTCATCAGTACAAATCTTGACTCCCTGCCTCATATGATCATATCTAGGTGCCAGAAATTCTTCTTTCCAAAATTAAAGGATGCAGAAATTATCGACAATCTGCAGTGGATCGCTACCAGAGAAGGATTAGAAATTGATAAGGATGCCCTTAGACTCATAGCATCTAGGTCAGATGGATCATTGAGAGATGCTGAAATGACTCTGGATCAACTGAGTTTGCTTGGCCAAACTATATCTCTTACACTTGTTCAGGAACTGGTAAGTTCTATTGTGAAAACTCTTGTTCAATTCTCTGAATTGATGCACTGTGGGCAATTACGTACATTTATATCCTGGAATTGAATCCTCTGTAAGTGGACATAAAGATTGATCTGGTATGATTATGCCCAAGTTGAACCTGTCAGAAAACTTTAAGCATGGTAAAAAGGGCATTCTGAAAATTTATTCAAAACGATAAAGCTTAGGAAAATTTTCATGACTACTTTAGAGATGGAAATTCTTTTAAAACCCTAATAAAAGTCTTTTAATCCTACCTCTTGGTAGGAGAGTCAAACCCCATTTCGTTCCTTTGCAAGCATCAGGGAATTTGTGATTGCATAGTGAGCAGCAGTAAATGGGAAAATAGGGTGATTGCAGCAGCAGTGGTGGCAGAGTCAGGAAGATGCTAGGAAAAAAATTGGGTGTGATGGCTGAGGGCTGTGTCAAACAGAAGCACCGGCTGCATAAGGATAGTGGGAACATGCAGCAGTACCAGTAGGGGCGGTGGTGGGAATGGTTCTTTCTGTTCTTGTCATTCTTCTTTTTCTCTTATTCCTCTTGTTTTTTTATTCGTCCATAGTTCCACCATCTGCAACGGTAAGTTCATACCCAGCAAAATGCAAAAAAAAAATTACTTGATTCGTGGCATGCATAGAATTCTGAAAACTACTAATATTGGACAATTATTGTTCAAGTGGAACCGTGAGTCTGAGTTTGAGAACCTTTATCTGAATCATAGTACCTTTTCTGTTATGGCACCTGCAGAGCCTTCCCCGAAGAACTTCTGGAGACTGATTTTTTTTTCAGTAAATACTTAAGAAACCTAATTATATTCGGTGATTAGGGATGGTGCGTAACTGTAAAAATCACAAACAGGATGCGCACTAAATAGTAGCCATGGGAATTAACCATGTGAGGATAGACAAGGTAATTAAAATAACGCAGATTGAAAAATGAATGATCTTTAGAAGGAAGAGAATATTTTTGTGTACTAAACAGTAATTTTCATATGAAAGAGATTGACTCTGTTTACTCAGTGCTTTAGAAATGTTTCCTCTGGAAACTTCTTCTGTGATCACTGTCACAGTGAGTTGGATCAGATGCTCCATTTCTTGGTGGGATGTTTGGAATACGGCAAGCCTAAACGGTTTTCTTGCCAGAGAAATGCTGCTTAAAACTCAAGCCTTATGAACTCATTCTTGGCTATTGGAACTGCTATCATTATTGGCTCCAGTACTCAAAATTTATTTCATTCCTTTTTCAGGTAGGTCTGATCTCCGATGAGAAATTGGTGGATTTACTTGATTTGGCATTATCCGCAGATACTGTGAATACCGTGAAGAGGTTAAGGGATATTATGGAAACTGGGGTTGAACCTTTGGCATTAATGTCACAAGTGGCAACTGTAATAACTGATATTTTGGCAGGCAGTTATGTGTTCACTAGAGAAAGGCTTCGGAGGAGGTTTTTCCAGAGACAGACATGTAAGTTAAAAAATTTCCTTGGCAGCTATCCCCGCTCATTGGCATTTTTCAATCGAGGAATCATTCTGGCCGCTCTTACATTAGCTCTTACATTTCTGATGTTTTCGACCTGCTGCACACCTTTGTTGTAATTATAATGCATCGTTTATGGAACTCTTAACTTGCCATCTTTCTGTCATTCCATTCTAGTAATGAGGCATATTTCCTTCTGTATGATTCTTGACTTAGATGTTTCTAATCAGTCCCCATGCCTTTTATCTGTTTATTTCAGTGTCCAAAGAAGACATGGAAAAGCTGCGCCACGCATTGAAGACTCTATCAGAAGCGGAAAAACAGCTGAGGTTATCAAATGACAAATGGACTTGGCTTACAGCTGCATTGCTTCAGCTTGCTCCAGATCAGCAGTACATGTTACCAGATTCGTCTGCAGAGACAAGCCTTAAGCACAGTCCACTGCCCAACAACATCCGCCAGAGGGATATTCCTCATACCTCCCCCAATGTTCGGGATGAGATGGGCCATGGTCAGAAAGCCTTGTCTGGAATTACCGGAGTAGAAAACGGTACTAAAGTCGTTAATGGTGGCGTGCACAATGGCTGTATGATGAAGAACTTAACTGGAAAAAGGCACAGTGGGGTGAGTTCCACACGAGCTCCAGTTTTGTCTGCAGATTTAACTGAGACAAGTGGATTGCCTGATCCTGCTAGAAGGCAAAAGGACGTTCAGAAAGTCTGGTCGGCAGTGCTTGAGAAGATTCAAGTAAACTCACTTAAAAAGTTTATGCTAGGTGAAGGAAAACTGACGTCAGTCAGCCTTGGTGTTGGTAAGCTCCAAATTATATCCATCAAGATTGTTACTCTGGACTTTCTTAGGCTCTGAACAGGATATAGTAGTATGTGATTGACGTGGTTATTTGCTGTGACATCGATTCTTTAGCGCCGCAAATCTGAGACCATTTTGAAATGTCCTTCCATTACTCATACGACGCTTTATGTTCATGTTTTTTCTAGTATTATGCAATATTTCACTTATTATTTTCACCTTCCGTGATATATGTTTTTAAACGACTGCCGTTCTTTCCTTCCTTCCAGCTCCAACTGTGCAGTTGACGTTCAGCTCACATTTAAATAAGTCCAAGGCTGAAAATTTCAGGGAACATATTCTTCAAGCTTTTGAATCAGTTCTTTCTTCTCCTGTAACGCTTGAAATTAGATGTAAATCCGGGAAAGATACGAAACCAGACTATGAAGACGCATATGCTCAACAAGTTTCAGAAAATGGTTGCTCTCGAATGAAAGTTAACCTAGAACCCATATCAAATCGTAAGAACAGGAGATTAGGTTCTGAAACTTATATTGCAAGAATTTCAAACGATCATGTTGTCGAAGGAGACGGTTCTGCCCAAGTTGGATGGCTGCACTCTGATTCTCTTGAGAATGCTAAAAGCGAAATTATGGAAGTGGCCAGTTCCTCCCACGGGCTAGCAGACGCTATTGATCGGCGCTCAGGGCAGGCAGTAAAAAGTTTGTGGACAGCAGAGCCTTCATCATCGCACAATCCAGCTGCCTTGTTTCCTCCACCTGAAAGAGGGGAAAATGGAGAAAAATCTAGGAGGCAGAGTTTAGTAAGAAGTAAAGTATCCCTTGCACATGTGATTCAGCAAGCTGAGGGATGCTCACAACGGAGTGGATGGTCAAGGCGCAAAGCCATCTCAATAGCTGAAAAACTTGAACAAGAAAATTTGTAAGTTCCTTTTCTTTACATTCTTGCTTTTTGCTACCGAGACATTAATAATATCGAGTATGACAACTTTTTTGAGCATCTGCAAATCATCTGTCTTTTTGCTGACTGTTGATTTTATGATGCACGATCAGATTGGTAGAATCCAGGAACCAAATTCATTTATTTTGCAGAGCGTAAGGTTGCAAATCTCCAGTAATATGCTTATATCAGTCCGTAGAACATCATGTTAACAAAGAAAGGGCGGGCAGCTTTCGGATAGATAAAAATTCTATTTGACTGTGAATATCAGAGTCCAGTTTCTTGGAGAGTGAATTATTCTGAAGGCAGAATTGTTCTGATTCTGAGAAAATACGACGAAGTAGCCTAGATTAATCGAACGAGGTTGATTAGCATGGTCCAGTCTGGTCCTTTTTCTTATATGACACATATATATAGTTCTTTTTCTGAAATTTTGAGTTAGACTGTTCAAGTTTGTTCATCTCAAAGATTCGAAACAAGCCATTATGACATATTTCCTGCTTTAAAAACAAATGTCATCCTAGATCTGCCATCGTACCAAGCTGGTAAATTGGCAGCCTGACTCTGCATTGGTCATATCAATATAGATGACTGTAGATTCTGGAGCTTGAACAAAATCCTATGATTTACTTGAAGTTGAGTGCTAGGTTCTGTATAGTAATTTCTTATTCATTGGCAAAATATTGATGGATCAATCCAACTGCAAGATCTTGTAAAGAAATTCCTATGAACCGTAGTGGAGTAGCAACGAATTCCTATGCCGATGGTAAAGAAATTGCATTAATATGATGATCAACGGAAAACCCCGAGGTAGAAGAGATGCCGTGTCGGTTGTTCTCATTCTATAATATTTAAGGAACAGCCGAGATTCACCAATCATCTGTCGAGCAGAGGTGTTGTAGCTTACATTGTTTTCGTGATCCCCGTTCAGATGCCATGTACTTACTATTCATAATCTCTCAGTTCATCACCTTTGCCCAACTGGGGGGGGGGAGGAGAAGTAGCTGTGGATGATCTGAGAGACCATGAACTATTACCACTGATAGCAAGATAATTGACTATATTTAGCAAAAAAGAATTCCGGCGCTACTCATCCAAGATGAGGATTTCCATCGCGAACTATTTACCTGACATTTTTATCAACTCCTGAGGTTTACTGATTGTAGAATACCTTTGCGCATGATTTTCTTTGGCTTACAGGTGGTTGGAGCCCAGGTCAAGAAGCCTGCTCTGCTGGAACACTTCCAAAATCACCCGTGGGAAGGTGCTGCTTCATCATATTTTATTAAATCCCATGCGATAGAGCGTTGACCCATCATTCGCTGCGGTGAATATACATTTTCTCAATCGGTCAACGGTTTGCTGATCAGGTGCGGCGTCTGAGAGTCAGGCCAAGGAAGCCGCTGGCCGTTCTGAGGCGCCTCGCCTGTGGGAGATGCTTGCAGACGAAATCTCCGAGGTGATGATCTCTGGGTTGGTAAGGATAATTTCCTTCCTCCGGCTGCTTCGATTCATTCATCTGTCAATTATGTATAGGACAGTTATAGATTATCATCATCATTTCTACTTATGGATCTTCACAATGCTCGAGCTCTCCGCTTTATTTCTACATATTTGGCAGTGTTCTTTAGAAATGCACCAGTAAAATCCTCACTCTCTCTGTTTGGATCCTGTTAAAATCTTCACTCTCTGGGTTTATTCTTCCCAAATTTTTCCTTCTGGGTGTACTCGAATCTCCATGGCTCGCTCTCCCGCTTTATCCGATTCCGAGTGGCCGCGCACTCTCCTGCGAGCCATGCTTTAGGAGATTCTCTCTCGGACGATTCCCCTCTGCCAGCCGCCTCTGAGAAAAGCCCGAGGAATCCGGTGCCCGCCGGCCGCCGTCAGTTGACTCTGCTGCATCACGCTCGTCGCCACGTGCAGGACGCCTCGGGTTCTACGATGGCCGGAGTTCCCGGCCGTTCTGACCCGCCCAACTCCCAACTCGGGTCAACTGCAAGTCAACATGAGAGGAGAGAGAGAGAGAGAGGATGATGGGGGGTACCCACCAACGTGTTCCGTGTGCTCAAAAACTATTTTCACGATCGGCGGTCGCAGAGACGGGGGGGAACGTTTATAATTAAACCCGGGGCTGGCTGACGCATGCGTTGGTGGGCGGTCAACGTCAGCAGCCCACTGGATCATCCAGCTTCAGAGCTGGGCCCGCATTTCCTTTCACTCAGTTAACCCACCGCTCAAGAAGAAAGAGAGAGAGAGGGAGGGTGCGACGACTGACCCAGCAGACCGATGGGGTCGCAAGTCAACATCCAGGTCGAATGCTGACCCGCTGCCCGAACCATTCGTTGGCATGGAAAATGTTCAGGAAATTCCCCTCCGCCCACAACTCAGCATTCCTTTCTGACCTGGCTCGAGTCGGTCGGTGCGGATCCACCGAGTGATTGTAGAATTTCCTGGCAACCCGATTAAAAACCCACCTGACGACCTCGTCTTCCATCTCTCTCTGAGAAACCGCTGCCTTCGTCTTTCTTGCTCCCCCCCCCCCTTCCCATGGTGGAAGAAGAGGATCGGCTGCTGGCCCTGTTCGATTCCTACTGGTTCGGGCACGACGACCTCCCAAATGATCCCCGACCCATCACCCCTCCTCACGCCGGCAGCGGCGCGCCGGAGAGCAGCTCGCCGCCGGGCAGCGCCGCTCGCCGGCGAACTCTGAGCCAAGAGGTCCCATCCTCCTCCTCCTCATCCTCCGCCCCCTCCGTCTCGGAGTCAGTCTTCCTCGCCCACCGCCCACCGCGGCTCTGTACCATCCCCTCCGGTAAGTTCGCGCCGGAGGGGGGAGAAGATGGTTGGGAAGTCGTCGGAATCGCAGGCGGGGAAAGGGAGAGGAGGTCGGCGAGGAAGGCGATGGGGACTAGGAGGAAGAGCAGGAGCCTTTCGGAGCTGCAATTCGAGGAGCTGAAGGGGATCATGGACTTAGGGTTCACCTTCTCGGCGGGGGAGTCCGACCAGCGGCTCCTGTCCATCGTCCCCGGGCTCCGGCGGAGGGGGTCGTCGGAGGATGGGGAGGTGGAGGACGGCGGCGCCGCCGAGGAGGGCCCCGTCTCCAGGCCTTACCTCTCGGAGGCTTGGGCAACCGTCGAGGACCGGAGGAGCCATGCCCGTGGCCACCGGCTGCGCACCTGGAAGATTCCGACCCCCGGAAACGGCGTCGACATGAAGCACCACCTCCGTCACTGGGCTCACAGCGTCGCCTCCGCCATCAGATGACTCACAGCGGCGCCCGCCCTGCCCCGCCCGCTGCCTCGGCTTGTACACTCTCTCTCTCTCTCTCTCTCTCTCTCTCTCTCTCTCTCTCTCTCCCCTCTCTCTCCCTCTCTCTCCCTCTCTCCCTCTCTCCCTCTCTCCCTCTGTATCTATGATTTGGCGTCCTCTCCGTGCAAATGGAAATGGAAATGGTAAGACTTGCAGGCACAAGTTTGATCCAAGGCAACTGCTCATGAGGACGTTGATTTTCAATCATAGATATATATATAAAGAGAGAGCGAGAGAGAGAGGGAGGAAAAAGCCTAATCAAATCAAAATATTGGACTTTCCCAGATGAATGCATAGCAGAATGCTTTAAATTATCGGCTCATAGACATTTGTCGGGGTTGACGTTTCTAGAAAATCAAGTCATGAGCCCCCCTCACCGTGCGGTGAAAGCATCCAGTGAATCTAACTCACATAGCAAAAAGAAAAAAAAAACAGTAGTTTCTGGGAAGAACATCTACCAAATCAAGGAAAATGACTCCAATAGCGCATCCGATAGAGCTTCTTTCTCCAGGAATCTGAGGGGAAAAGGAAATATGTGAGACTTTGCTGGATGCTGGTTCTTGTTCTATCTCGAATGGATTCTGCATTCGAAAAAAATGAACCACACGAAGGCACCATATCCAAAGTGAACAGTAATGGCGCTCAACAACCCAGATCAATAGTATCTTAACATGAATCCAATATAATCTCGGAGAATGGATAACGAAAAAGGAGGAATGAGCTTTGAGCTATCGGAGGATAATGTTCTCTCCGGCTTCACAACCAAGCTCCGGCGGCGGGGAAGGATGGGGACATATACGATGTTGCTCCCAAGAGTGGGGGATTTCGGGGTATCGTCCAACATCTGGATGAGCATCGCCAATGCTCGATCTCCCAAATCCCCCTAAGCGGCGGCTGACTTCGCCGGCAGATCAACCATCACGCCTCCGTCCCTCCATGATTCTGCTGCCGTAATGCAAGATCTGGCGATTCTTCGCCTACTCTGGTTGAGGGAGAAAATCTTCAGCCAACGCCGTCGCCTCCGCCTCGCCACGACTCTGCCGCCGTCATTCCAGATCTCGCGATGCTACTCCTTTTCTAGTTCAGCATCCGCTTTTTATACGGGATGTTGCTCTCTTTCTCATCATTCCCCCGGTTCTTCTTCTCCTCAGAAGCCCCCGGGGAGCAACGGTGAAATCGCCATCATCGGAGCCGCCGCCCTCCCTTGCCGTAGATGGTCCAGTCTAGAGCCTCTCCCTCTCTCTCTGTCTCTATCCATTCTCTATAGGCACCTGTCTCGCTCTCTCTCTCTCGGGGCGGAGGGTCGTCTTCCAGGTTCCCACTGGCGTGATATATAGAGGGCTTTGTCGCGTAAATTACAGAAAGATCCAGTTTTATTTTCTATTATATTAAATATCAGAATTATTATATAATTGTTATCTCCAAAATTGACTCAGCCCGTCCCCAGGGTCGGCCGACCCGACGGCGTTCCTCAAATTCTCCGTCGACAACGGTAGAAATCTCCCCCCGCCGCCCCCCTCAACAAGCGGCACCGCCGCGCTGCCGTTTTAGGCGGGGAGAACACCGGATGAATTGCAGGGAGGATCGTTGACCGTTTTCAAACCCTAGACGACAAGAAACGGAGGGCGGGGAACTGGAGCCTCCTGGTCTACTCCTCGTGCTCCAAGAAGAAGAAGGCTCCACAATGCGCAGCTGTGATCGAAAATCTTCCGGTCACCGTAGGACGGTGAAGACTTCATGCATCGAACCTAGCTGTTTGATTTGTTAGCTTTCTGAGCCTCTGGGACTCAAACTCTTTCCAGTTGAATGCGCTCGGGAAGTCGCAGATCAGACAAATGGTCTAATCCTGGCCGCTCCTACTTTTTTCCCAAAGAACGTACTCTTTTTGAAAGGCGAAAGAAGGCGACAAACTGACCTGCGAGGAGACGCGGAATCAGAGTCGGAGAGAGTGAAGGAAGCCATACTCCTCAAACGGGAGAAGAGCAGAGCAAGATGGAGAAACCGAGACTGTTGAGAGGTCACAAGGGAACAGTCACTTGCTGCATTGCGTCTCGTGCCCGGCCAGGGATTCTCGTTTCATCCGGAGAGGTCCTCTCTCTCTCTCTCTCTCTCTCTCTCTCTCTCTCTCTCTCTCTCTCTCTCTCTCTCGCTCTCGCTCTCGCTCTCCATCTCGCCTTGGAACTATTCAGAATTATGGATGAATGCAGCTATAGAATTGAAAAATCGACTTATTTCGTTGCAGTTCTCATTGTGGCTTGCCATCTATTTTTAGCAGGATGGCCGTATATGTTGGTTTGATTTACGATGTAAAGATGCTCCATTCACCGTGGATGTGGGGACTGAACCAATCACATCATTATGCTTCAAAGCAGGTCAGTTGAACACATAGTTGAGCTATTTTTGAGTTCAGGGCCGGTGATTCGAGTTGATATCGAGTATATTAAATTTATTCATGTTCTTTCTAGAGACAATGTAGAATAGCAGAGTTACCGTTTTGGTTTCAAGGTAATGCATTTTTTGAGCTTCTGTGCCATGCTTCCAACAGGCTGCATTTTGAGGCTGTGTGAGAAGGACTTCTGCTTATTCAAGCACCTTCAACAGAAAGTTGACGTTTTCGAATAAAGATTCAATTTATGATTTAAACTATTTTTTAAATTCATATTATTCTCCTCAAAAAGGAAAAAGCTAAGAAGGATGAAGTCAAGTTTTGAAATTGAGACGATATTGTTTAGTATCATGGTAAAGAATAGAAACACTAAAAAGATTTTAAATTTTTTACTGAGTGATTGTAGAATGTGGGTAAATCATTGTGAAAATGATGACTTGTGGCTGTTTAACTGAGCATATGTTAAAAAGTATCCAGAATAGTTGAATAAATGAAACTTCGTCCTACCTAAAACATGGAGAATCCCTAGCCATTAGCTTGTTTTTTGAGCTTCTTAGTAATCACGTTTTCCTTCAGACTTGGTGTTAGTTGAACCGCTTTTGTGAGTTTTTTTTTCTTAAGCTGTAAATGATAACTAATTAAATATCTATTTTCTTGAAGTCTGTTTTGATTTTACTTGTATTGCTGTTTCAGTTGATTTCCATCCAGGAAGTCCTTGCATAAGAGTTTTTCTTGACAACAACTAAGTTATTCCAGACTTAAGAAATGCAGGATTTAAAGTATGGTGTTCGTTATGCTATTGTCTAAGGTGGTGTGGTTACATAACTGTTGAAACGTGATTTGTTGTGGCAGGAAATGAAGATGTTTTGTATGGTTCATTGGGAACAGAAATCATTGGTTTTGACATTCATATGGTAAGTCTAAACATCACAGCTCTTGTCACCAAAGAAAGTGGTACGTGTTTCTCACAATATTCATGCTAAAATCTAAACGTTTATGCATGACTCTTTGAAGCTTTTTCTGTGATGGATTCCTACCTCTAAGAGTTGGAAACAAAGTAACTGTGTATGCGAGATTTCTATTCATTGATCCCATGGTGAGGTCCATAATCATGCTGTCTCATGGATTTCTAAGAGACTCCATGAGAAGTGTTCCCTGTTACCCTTGGTGCTGCAACTATCAGCCTTGAAGCTGAAGTTTTAAAACTGCTTCCAGCCTCTATACAAGGGTTCCTTTTCTGCAATTCAGATAATTGACATGGATTTTTCTCCATCTGAGTTTTGATTTAGTCATCTTCATGGAAATTCATTGCTAACTCCCATACATTATACTTTCCTATGAGGTACAATGGTCATTTATTCTCGGAATTTCTTGTAACACCTTTGGACAGATAACCGAGTATATGGTGTAAAGCAACTGCATAAATTGTGCATACAATAAACTTTACAGACATGTACATCCTGAAATTAGCATTTCAAATACTATCGTCTAACATATTCCAATTTTTATCTAATATTATCAAATTTTAAAATTAAACCTCATAAAGAAATTTGACTATAATCGTGGTTAAAAATATTTCTTCTTATACTCAGTTTTTTACCTTGCTCTATTTCCACTGTGTCGAAAATTATTTTTTAGTGAGACATACGGCCAGGTCTGATTGATGGTAAGGCCATATGATGATGGTGACTATGGCAATGATTTGTATTGTGGATATTCGTGTGTCTCTTCATCCATCTGTTTTCTTTGAGATAATGCCCAAGTTAGATATCTGACGAAATCTGACCATTGTGTCACGAAAGCATGTGCAAATATGGATGTGAATGTAATTCTTTTGTATGCATTTGCCTGATGAGGTGAACAACATTGTATGTATTTTAAAACAGAAGTCCTGGAAAGTAAGTTTTAAGTATGTTTTCAAGTGGATCTCTGAATTCTAAACTATGATTACCATCAGTGTATCTCCAGATGTCTCACTCTTTAACTTTTTTAGGCATCATCCATGAAACGCCTGGAAAGTTACAACCATAACAAAGAGGAGATAAATCAGGTACTATTATAATTTGTTTCCTTTTTGTAGTTTGAACATCTATTGACTTGCTAAAGGAAAGTTTCCTCACAGGACGCCTCCAATTTCGCAAAAATCCTAAATCGATCCTTAACTTTACTGTCACGTTTATGTCATGTTTCTTGTGTCATGTTGTATTCTTTCACTCGCTGGGCATAGAAATTAAGAACGTAATCTACTTTACGAAATAGGTAGCATAAAAATAGTGTTATATTTTTGTAGTGTATTTCAGTATTTATTTCAAAGATTCCGCTAAGTCATCTGATTTTTACTTCAGTTAATTCTTAGTATAGCATTATTTTTCGCAGTCGTGGAGGTCCTTGACCTCTATGCCCTGTTAGTAAACAGGGCAAGTTCGATTCGTTAGTATACAAACTTAATTTGATAAGGGATGACATGTTCATTTTTCTCTTTCATAATAATTTCTCTTTTTGCAGATTGCCTTCAGTCCAAAGTCATCTTTTCTGGCTGCTGCTGATGACAGTGGGGAGACTAAGGTTAAAATATGCTGTGTACTGATAATTGCATGTGCATTTATCTGTGTTTAAAAAGCTTCACTTTTTAAACTGCTTGATTCTTCAATCGTATTATAAAGTGGAAATCCCTTTCTAATGCAGATCATCGATGCTCACCAGAAATCGCTCTACAAAACTTTAAGATCTGTCCATAATAATGTATCCTTCTTCAGTATAATTGTTATTCCGCACATGGAACTGAGAATTCAAATTATCAGGTTTTGTAATTTATTTCTTCATTAATCAGAAACCTTCATATATTTGCTTGGATCAATTTTGGTAATTACTTTTCCTTTTGATTGAATTTAAGTCCATGTGTTCCTGAGTTATTATATTTATAGATATGTAGCAGCGTTCAATTCCTTTCCTGGAGGCCCTGGCTAGGTAATATTTAAAACTGATTATCAAGTATGGTTCATTTTTTTTATATGTCGATTTGTATGCAAAAATTGTTTTCTTCTGTAGCACTTCACAATGCCCGATGTATTTCTGATGAACAAAATTATGGCATAGGATGGGACCGAAGGATTATTGCCAAGGGTTGAGATGACCATACTATTACCATAGATATTCCCGTGTCACTTTCTTTCCTAAAAAAAGAGAAAACAACCACATTTAACATGTTTCATCAATTCAACATTCATGCATGCATCTATTAGGTTGAATTCTAACATCAGTCTTGATCTCATTTTGGTGCATTAAGAGAAAACCAATTCGTTTAGATCTGTAGGGCAGCTAGTTTATGAAAAATATTAAAACATGCCACAATATGACCTTGCTTACTTCACTCATCATTTTCTTTAAAAATTTCGCAGCTGTCACTGGCGGTCTCGACTCAAAGCTTGTGCTGTGGGATTTCTCTAAAGGAAGACCTCAGAATATCATAGATTTTGGTATTTATAATCTACTTTGACTACTTTGCTTTAATCACTAATCAGTGCGTTTTTTACTTACTAAATCCTCTACTTTATCTTTCACATGACATTCCCGACAACTGACTTTCATGTAACTTTCAATTTTTCCTTTCTCTTGAGAAAGCTTAAAGGCCAACCCCAGGATCACATAAACTGACAGTTTCATGAAAAATCGCCTGTTGAGCTAGCATCCATTTTTTCACTTAGAATTAAAAACAGAAAACATAGTGATCTTAGACCTTCCCCCATGGAAATATGAGGAACATCTTACTGTTGTTGTACATGAGAAAGCTGAGATCTTTTAAGTTTCTTGGTGCTTAAAGTTGTTATTCATGATTAACCCAGTCCATCACTATTATGAATGTAAGTTTAACATAGGTAGTGCTCTTAGGAAACTATGTATGATCAGTCCTCCTCCCATCTTTTACAAAGTTTTTAACTTCCAACTCTGCTGTTTGCATTTCAGCAACCCCGAATCCAGGCAGCCACAAGACGTTCTCTGATCCCGGCCAGTGTTTCAATCCACCATTTGTGCACTCGATTGCAATATCAGAAGCAGAGATAGGCACTGGGTTGGAGAAGATTGGTGCGATAGCACGGGGTGACGGGGTTGTTGAGGTAATTGACATCGAATCAGATTTCGTGCCTAGTAAATCAAAAAGCACCTCCATGCCTCGAGGAGGATCCCAGACAAGACTAAAAGAGAAAGCTTCCTCCTCCAGCCAAGACCAACCAAAGAGCTTGCAACTTGACTACCGCTTGGGAGGTCATACTGCTGCTGTAGCCAGCGTGTAAGCCCTTTGGATCGTCATCTCTGTGCTCTGAACCCGTTTCATTTAATCTCCTAATAAATTGATATAATGTATCACACAGCTGCTTCTCATTGTTCGGGGAGAGAGGAAAGTTCATCATTTCTGGAGGAGACGATGCGCTCATAAAGGTCTGGGACTGGTCAAAACACCTTCGCATTGAAGAAAAGGCCTCCAAAGAGCATCTGGTTTGGACAATTAATTTGAAAGAAAAGGTGGTTGGTAACATCTGATTGGTTTGTCTGTTCAAGTCTCTAGGAGCCCTTATTTCTTAGGAACCCTCACGGAGACGGGCACTCACTTATTGCTGCAGGTTAATTGGCTGTGTACAACGACGATGGACTCGCAGAACTTGGTCGTGTGTGACACATCGAAGGTTATGAAGGTCTATACAGTCTTGTAGTCTGCGAAAGAGGCCAGCGAAGAGCTTTGAATCATGGCAAAAGAGCTGGAACCGAGGTGAGCTGTTATTTTTGACTGCCCAAAATTATGTAATGGGCTAAATCAAAGGGCCTAATAGCCAGACAAAGTAAAGTGACTCTTTCTTCTCCCTTTTAGGTGAAGTAAGAGCTTCAGGAAAGTAATGAGTCAGTAAGAGAGAAGCATTTAGAAACCAAGTGTTTCTGAAGCTTCGTGGAAAGGAAGATAGCTGCTTCAAGTGAAGTTCTAGGGCTTGAAGAAAAGAGGAAGAGGCATGCCTTTCTACTCTTCACTATTAGTGTTCCATTGGAGCCAAGGAACCTTGTCTTCAAGCTTGTGGAAAGAGGTTCAAGAGAGTCACCCATCTTTTAGTTGTCTCTATCTTCTATCTCTTTTTATTTTAAGGGTGGATGTATAAGTTTAAACACCGCACATATTATCAAATGTTTGTCTTCTGTTCAAGTTGATTTGAATAAATCCTTTATCAATGTGTTCTTGTAGTATTGAGTGTCTGATTTCTTTGAAGATACCTCATATTATAAGAAATATAAAAGGCATCGGTCCACCATACTTATGACATTTGATATATTTGTAATGTGTTATTATATTCTGCATAATCGTAAGTATATATTTGCTATCCAAGGTCTGTTTTCAAATTTCTTGGATTATTTCAGTTCTGACTTATTTTCAAGGCCATACTAACTATCACAACATTTGGTATTAGAGCTAAATTTATATTACTTATTAAAAAAAAATGTGAATGACAAAATTTAAGGTTACAAAATTCAATAGAAAAATTGACTTTAGTCTATGAAAAAAGAGAGTGAAGACACTCCTTGTACAACAAGGATTGCACAATACTCTTTATGGCAAATTTTGTAATACTCTTGTACAACAAGGATTGCACAAGAGTATCTAGTGAAGATGTAATGCTATATTACTTTTTGAGGCATTTTTGTGGGAAAGAGATGACTAACGAATTACGTCTTTTTTTTTCCTTTTTCAAATGTAAGGATGACGAGTCTAATAAATATTTATACCGAAAATTCTGTTGTCTCTTATTTCAGCTATATATTTGGGTACAAAGGCTCAGAAAATTATTTGTTGATTTGGAAAGAGGTTATAGCATATTTTCAGCAGAATCTATAATTCAAGAACATTGATCATTGGATACAAATGAACGAGAAATCGACCTCCTTCGCCACTCCACATCTGGCTCACACATCTGAGAATTACTGTATTTCTAGCTTTGGAAACATCCCAAAAGCAGTTATGACTGAAAATTTGAACGTTTCCAAAATTGGCCCCTGTTAGAAGATATTGGGCAACATAAGCATTGTCTAATATCGTTCCTAACAGTTTGATTCATCATTTCACTTCAAAATTGTAGTTAATGAAGAAACACTATCCAGTTTTCTTGATTTCATCTTTGAAGATAATCAAAAGAGGGGTTTACACAACTGTTGATTTCTTATTTCGCCATTTCAATCAAGGATTTGGTGGAAGGTTTCCATAATTGATTTATCAGAACTGGACGGAAGCTTATCCAACACAGAAAGAAAAAATTGACCAATTCATAGATTTGATTATTGTGAATGCATAAACATCACAACTTCAATTAAATGTAATTATTATAAAATTAAACCTGTGAATATCATTCTAATTTTTTAAAAATGATTCATCTTAACAATTATTGTGCACTAAAAAATCAACACTTGAGAACAAGTTTTCTTCAAGCAGAGGAGATAGATGTAGGACAAAAAATCGAATCAATGGACAAAACATTTTTGACCTAGGTTGCCTAAGATTATTGGACCGAGCATTTAGGATGCTCAAAATATGTTCAATGGTAAGAAGACTCCAAAGGGTTCATATCAATTTGGGGTCAGATTTAGACATGTCCAAAATGCTTTAAAAATTAGTTTCCTGCTCAAGTGGACTGAACTGAAAGCTCTTCTACAACCTAATATAGGAAGCATGAATACTGAACTAGTAGGACAAGTCAGCTCATTAGCTTTTTCCTCATACTAAAATACATTTTAAATGTGCCCAAATTTACCTTCCTACTTTAGTATTTCATTTTTCTCACTTTTAACCTTATGAATATATTTTAATGTAATACAACTCAAAATTTAGGTGCCTATGATAGAACTATCATTTCTAGGGGCATCCTAACTATATTTTATGAAATTTCTTCCTCTTTTGACATTCTATTACAAGTTGGGGGATTTCAATGGCCCTCTTTCAATTTAAAAGAACATTCATGTGAATTCAAGATGAAGCTGCCATATATTCAAGCCTCAAATTTTTTACATTTTGTAGATTTAGGGAAATAATTCTTCACTGAAATCACGTTTCTTCTAGATCCAAAGACAGGATTTTAACTCCGTACAACTTAGGCTAGGTCATATCTCCATTAAATCGTCATTTCATCATTTTCCACTACATCATCTTAATCATTTTTTATATCTAGTTGGTTTGCTTATAGATGATAACTCATATTTTTCTTCATGTTAAAGTATCTCCATTAGCCGCTTCCAAAAAACTTGATCTACACATGTACCATCTATTGCCTTTGTGGCCTTTTTTGCTTGGAATTGACATGTATAACCCACCAGAACAACTATATTCCACACAATCATAGTAAATACAAGAACCTTACACTTAAGAGTAGTACTCGGAGTTTTCCTCCATGATTGCATGGTGTCAAATTTTTTTGTTGTCCTTCTTAGTGCATTCAAATCCTACTTATTGTTAGGACCATTTTTTAGGTGACTAGAGATTTGAAATTGAGAATTTTCATGATCACCATTATTTCCCTCACAATGTAAGCCTATGCCAATATTTTAAGTTGGTGACTTCAAAACTTAGATATTTCTATAAAATTCCTGAAGAAAATCATTTGTATGAGGCTTTTTTGAAGTCTAGCCCATATAACTTGATTTTAAATTTTTAATCTATTAATCAATTTAGGCCCACTTAAGTTGGTATTTTAAATAGAATCAAACCTTTAACTTCATCATATGATAAGACATATTTTAAGATTGTTGATTTATACCATATAATGGTTTATAGTTAAGATTAGAAGTTGATTAAATTGGTTTTGATGGGTATATTAAGAGATTACATCATTTGATGATATTACAATTAGCTTGGAATGAGCTCAGAAAAATAATGTGAATGTTCTTATAGTTAGTGTCCAAGTCTTCCCCTACATTTATATCCCTTTGCAACACCTCTAGCCACAGCATGCCTTTGCCATTATTTGAACTTATTGGCTTCCTATCCATTTTTGTTTTATTTAAAAAAATTATATTAGCCCTAATGATAGAAACCATTCTGTGTGAAACATTTTTGTGGGTTTTCTGAATATATTTTTTAAATGTGAGTGGAAAATAAAGTGCATGAAGCATTTTTATAGTATGTAGAAACTTGGTCCAAATAACTTAATTTTAAATTTTCAATATTTTGTTCAGTTATAATAAGTTGGTTTTGATGGATGGATTTGACCAACAACCCATCAATAGATGCATGTGTTAAAATATATTCAAAGATTTCTGATATACATTAGGCCCATGTTTCAAAACCTAGATCAAAAGCTGATAAAATCTGTCTACCTCAATGATGGTTCTGCTTTTAGATTTGGCCACTTCAATGATCTTAAGATAAGATGACCATTGATCAAACTCGAAAAAATAATGTGAATGTTTTTAATACATTTGAATCCATTTGTGTCACCCCTCTCATCGAGGAGCAAGGATTAAGATGTTGGATCTCACTTCTCACATGAGGCCACTAAGTTGCATACATGAGAACTCTCACGTTAACACAAGTGTGGCAAGCCATAGGCATAGACATAGACAAGAGGCACACACCGCAAGGTAGAGTAATGTTCAATGTTTTTCTTGAAAAAAATTGAAGAAAAAACTTCTAAAGTTGTGGTAGTTAGAAAAATGATTTGAACCAATATGTAAAACCTCAATGTGATGTAAAAAATAATATCAAGGATACTTTTTATTATGATGTAAACCAGCATGCTACCCACATCAACAATGAAAATCAATATGCAAATTTGTGACCCTCTTTAGTATGGATGTGTTCAAAGATATCTAAGGTAATATGACAGAGATTGCAAGACTGAATCTAAATGAACACTAAAATAGATACATGAATATTTACATGGTTCAATAAATCATCCTTCATCCATGGAGAGAACTAGAGTTATTTCTATGATAAAAGAGTAAATAGAAAGAGATCCTTACAACAACATCTATATCTCTTTCCCTGATTTGATGTTGAATATCTTCATCTTCACAAAGGAAAAAGAACAATCAATGAAAGAAATGGAAACCTCTCATCCTCTTTTTTCACCAAGCCCAAAAATCCTCCTCTCTCATCATTTCTCACCAAGATGAATGAGTCGAGACCAAAATTCTGGGAAAATTTACATAAATTCTAGAAAATCATAGGAACTTTTTTTCACAAAATATCTTCACAGAAATCACAATTGAGACCATCATGACATGCATATGAAGCAAGTATTCAATAGGATCCTATCAAAATAATCCATAAAAGAATGTTTGCAAAAAAATATTTCTAAACATGAAAATGATCTTTTAATTAAATCATCTACTCTAACTATGGTTATTAGGAATTAGAATAATTTCCATGCGATTTTTGATAAATTAATACAGCAGACATAACAATATTATATGTCTTTGCATTTAAATATAAAACATTATCAAAAATATTTTATGAGAATAATGATAAACTTTATTGTAGATCACATCTTGTCAAGGTGCTTGTATAGTATGAGTCAAAAAAGTTAACATAAATATGAGATTTGTTCGTTTAAATAAGAAAATAATATTTCTTATATCATTTAAATGACACAATTTACTTTATTGCATACCAATGTTCTTCTCCTAAATTTATGAAATATTTATGATATGTTATAGATCCAATTTAGTAGAGACCATAAGA